CGAAGAGAGGGAAACGCTGGCAACATTTCCGTTTCCTCCCTCTCAGCGGGGAAAGAAGAAAGGGAAAGCAAGGGGGCCTCTAGCAATGTTGCCAGCCTTGAAAGCACAGCAAGGAAAAGGGGTCTTCAGTCCACGTGGAGCCAACTGCTTACCGATCGACCATCTTAACTTATTTTTTTAAGATTTTATTTATTTATTTTTAGAGAGGGAAGGGGGAGAGAGAGAGAGAGAGACATCAATGTGCGGTTGCCGGGGGTCATGGCCTGCAACCCGGGCATGTACCCTGACTGGGAATCGAACCTGCGACACTTTGGTTTGCAGCCCGTGCTCAATCCACTGAGCTACACCAGCCAGGGCAACTTATTTTTTAAAAAAAGAACATTTTTAACATATTTCAAAGGTTTATTAGCATACAAAAAAGTTTTAAAATAATAAGCATACTCTTTATTACAAGTAGTTTTAGAAACCTCAAATGTTTACAAATACAACGTTCTTAAAAGAGATTCATCGAAAAGTCCATAGAGCATTTCCTCAAAAAAAAGGAAGACTAAAAAAAAGGCTTTTTTCACCAATAAAGTGAATGACCTAAAATTTTGCATTCAAATACCAAGGTGAATAAAAATAAAAAAAAGAAAGCATGACATTTCACGCCTTTTTAAAAAATATAAGAGACTTGTCCTGTGTGATATTTAAGTTGCCATGAAAGCAGGACTATTACAATATTATAACATTAACTTTAGAACATAACTTATGATTAAATGTAAAGGGGAAAATGGAAACAGTCTATGAATATTTGGCACCTGCAAATTTCCTTTTATTTCAAAAAAAATTTTAAAAACACCAGTATTAATACTGTACTTTGCAAACCAAACTAACATTCTTTTGCAAACCCAACTAGTGACATTTAAAAGCGGTGGTCAGCCTGGTCAGGAGTTGGCAGAGATGGCTTGAACCTATTCCGACTTCTTGGGTGAATGAATGTGTCTCCAGAGCACGGAGGAAAAGGCACAACAGGGGCCGAGGCTGAAAACTATTCTAGCCTGTGAATCCCATTCCCTCCGATCACCTTCCTGTCCTGTAACTCCCTCTGCAGTACCCTGTGTCATTCTCTCCGCGGACACTTTTATTCACCCCTTCCCCTTCCCCTTCCCCTTCCCCAAGTCTAGTTTTACTCACTAAAATACAAGCTCCAGGGAACCTTGTCCGTCTGGGTCACCACAGTAACCCCCAAGCCCAGGAGAGCATCTGGCACATGGATTCCATAAATATTAGTTGAAGATATGGATGCTCCCCAAAAGTGGATCAGAAAGTCAGGTCCAGGAAAGTACAGGGGTTCGGTCTACTGTGGATTCCACCTACTGGGGGAATGGGTAGAGAGCTTAGACTCCTGATACACACAGTCAGTCTTCACTTCATGTTGTCAGTAGGTTCATGGAAACTGCAACTTTCACCACTCTTACCATAGGCTAACTGATATATAAACCAGAGTTACATTCCTAAGGCATATTTCTGTATATTAATTAGCCTATGGTAAAAACAGAATAAGCATTCAAATACTTGTGTGAATAAATGAACATATTACATATATTTGTACTATTTAAACTTGTGTATATATATTCCACTTTTAATAAAGTATAATTCAGTAAGACTAAATATCAATATAAACATCAATAACATTTTTAATGAAACACAGTGAAAAACAGTTAGATTCATATTTTCAAATATCAACCATGGAGTTAAGTATATATATTATGAACTATAAAGGTGTGCATGAGAACAAAATAGAGAATTTTAAATAAGAGACACTATTAAAATGTCTTTTGTAAAGAAATATTTATTATAATTCTAATAAGCAGTACTTTTCTATGATACAGAACCCACTTTATCTCAAATGAGTCCTAGAAAAGAATATCAGCTTCTAGAATGAAATCAGGATCTCAGACTGCCTTCAAGGTAAAAAAAACTAAACTGCATGTAACATAAACAGTAACAGAATAGAATATATATGATATATATTTAGAGTGTAAGCAATTCTAAATATATATTCTTCCTATAGTCTTCAATGTATCAAAATGCTTTAAGAATACAAACAAATACCAATTCACAGAGATTGTAATGAAGCATTTAGTTATTGAATTCTATTGCAAAATATTAGATAACTAGCTAGCACATGCTCCAATACCATTGAGGACATATGCTGTATTTTTATAAACCATCTTAGATGTATTTTCTGCTATAAAATTTTTCCCCTACCTTGGAATAGTCTAGGAGAAAAGTCTATCTAGTTCCCTTATTTACACCAAGTCCATTTAAAATGGCCCTTCAGTTGTAAAAGGCTATAAATCAGACTAAATAATTCCTACTTGAGAATCCCAAAAAACAATAAGATACAGGTTGAACACGACATACAAAGTGAATCATTACAGTATTATTATCATTATCGATCCACCACTCAGGAAATCTGGCCTTCCCTGACTTCAGAGAAAAAGAAAAAAAATATACAAAATCCCTTTTCTCTTCAAGAATGAACTCACTCAAGATTCTGAACAGATGCAAGCTGCTGTATTGTTGAATATGAACCGTATGCTTCCTTTACAGTAAGACAATTTAAAGGTGGATGTTCACTTACTTTTTTCAGACATCTCCACTTGATAAACATGTATAAATAAGTCAGGTTCACTTTTTCTTGTTTTGACAAAATCACCACCACCTTCCCCACCCCCTCATCCTTTTCTTCATTCCAGCCATATGAAAAACTAGAAATAATTATACAATTGGAGTCTTTTAGATAGACTCCAATAACTCTTACATAATATTTATGTTGGATTTCAGCTCCTGTATTTCAAATAGACCCATTCGGTTCCTGATCTTTCAACGGACCTCTATATGAATGCCACCTTAGATAAAAGTGATACCCATTGAAAGAGCACCAGTTAAAAAATGACAACAGTAAAAATAATCTCCATGGAAAGCAAGGATTAATCAGGATGTTCGGAAATAGGTCGTCCTGGCTAGCTGAAATGCTATGCTTAGGTCAGGCTGACCAGAGTCACTTTGCAAGTGTGGTGTATCTCCACGTTGGTTCTGGGATGGGTCACTATTCTGAAGGTTATTGTTCTGAATTGCACTGGAGCACAGATTCTGGATGATGGCCCCAGGATACGCCTTGGACTTATCATTTGCTTAATTCCCCTAAAAGAGGTGAAGATTAAAGGCTGATTGTCTGGGCTTGAGAAACTGCTGCTTTATTCAGAGGGAAAGACAGCACCAGTTAATACCTCTCAATGTAAACACTCAGGACTCTGTCTGCATTAACCCTTTGTGCATGTGGACAAAGTGATTCTTGAAAATCAGGTAACTCTGGACCCAAACCTCCTAAATAGTATGGGATTTTCTACAAATGAATAACTTAATCATTGGGGGTAGGAGGGAAGAAGTGTTCAGAACAGTTTCTTAGTTTGAAATTAAGTTTTAAGATTTAATGCAGTAACTGTAAATCTAAAAAATAATTCCAAATTATTCTTCACAGACCATAGTAAAGGCAACAGCCAGCTGAAAAATAAACGAGGTATAAAAGAAATCAAAAAGGCTGTAACATAGAGCACTTTAAATATTGAGGCATATTATATATAAATTATGTACCGAGAAGTTTTAAAGTCTGAAGTTCTGCATTTTGACCCATGATATAAATGTGTTATCTCAATTGTGAGATTCTGTGTTCAATCTATCTAATAACAACAGTAACTATCATTTATTTAATCTACACTACATGACAGAGATGGTGCTGCACCCACTATGGAAACGTAATCTCATGAAATCCTGATAACACTTCTGCACAGTAATTCTTGTTTCCGTTTATAAGAGAAAGATAAAATAAGGTTCAAACTGTAACGACAAGTAAAAAGAAGAACCACAGCGGAGATTCCCCAAGGCCTGACTCCACAACCTGTAAGTGTCCTACAAAAGCAAACAGAGTCGATGCCCATGCCTACTGCCATGTCCCACCCTCACAAGCTGGCCTACTGGCTGTAATTCGTCTGTCGCCCCGGTATCAGCACCTGCTGCGTCCCGAGGTCGTTCACAGATGGACTCGAGCAGAGCAGTGAAAACTCGGGGCCACTAATGCACAGCTGCGTTCCCTACGGGTGTCAAAAGCGGCACCGCTCTGAGGCTGTAAACAAGTGACTTCTTCCTGGTTTTAGTGTCCCTTCACTCACCCTTCTGTGCTTTCTGTGTGTGACCCACTGTTTTAAATGCCCCCGGCCACAGAGCTGCAGTCCTGCCTGCTGTCCCCAGCTCACGAAGGCCGTGACGGGCCTCAGGGAGGAAATACGTGTGTCGGACGTGCTTTGTTCAAGCACCAGTCAGAGGGTGTGGGCCATGGATTCCATGGTAGTGACTCAACAGTATAAACTAAAGCAGGGGTCTTTAAAACACAAGCACACATAAGACAGGGCTATGTAACGATCGGCTGATGAAAAGTTCGGGATCGGAGGCTCACAGGAACCTAACCCCGTTTTTCCCTTAGGAGCAAATTCACTGTTTGCTAACTCAGTGTCTGAAGAACCCAACTATGGCGAAGAGTGAAAATTCCACTAGAAAACTCTGCCCCCTCCCCCAATGTTTGCATTAACGTTTCAGTAAAAGATTCTCCTCCTGTCACTTCCTTCAAAGACCATCATCATATCTGTGCGGTCATCACTCAGCTGTGTCAACCAAAAAAAAAACCTTTTTGGTCACCATTCTTTTTTATAGGTTGCATCTACTTGTGTTTCCCTGAAAACTAATCTCTCTTCAAGGCAATGTGGTCTTCCCACGTGAAAAACCTAAGGAATTCAATTTCAGTTCTTATTACCGGATGTCATGGGGACTGTTTAATGACGGTTGTTTTCGTGAGATTATGAATTTTTAAAATGAGACTGTTGGAAATAATATGGACAACACGAACAGCAACAAAAATGAAAGTGTGGCAGAGGAATTTTAGAATATCAGAACAAACTGGAACTCTTACCTTTCTTGCCCAAGTCAGATATTTTATTGAAAAAAAAAATTACAGTACTTAAAAATCCAAACAAGGACAATTCAGGGTGGAGAAAAAGAAACCTGAAAAAGCCCATTGTCTTCAGTAAAACTCTGAATACAAAAAAACATAGACTCGGAAAACAGTTTATGGCCCAATGCACTGGTTTCATGATAAACACACACACAGAGTATATCTCCATCAAGTGCAACTTAATCACCTTTTTACAATTTAGAGAGGAAAGGCAGCTTTTTACTATGGTTAAGCCATGTATCATCAAAACCATGAAGCTAGCCTATCAGTTGTAATAGCTTCTATAAAATACCACAGCGAGATTGCAATAAGCCTAGAAAATGGGCTACAAATCCCCGCTCTGCTCAAGCAAGCAATGAACCAAAAATAAAAATAGGTAAAACTGAACCAAGAACTAGACAGCATACATCTAGATTCATGATTGGTAAGGCAAAGTTCATAGGCCAAGGTCTTAAAGTGACTTGTTCAGATCCAAAAGACAGTCATTATACAAAATAAAAGCATTTGTGTAATTCGGGGGGGGGGGGGGAATCATGAATTTTCACCACAAAAGACATAGCACAGAAAAGCTTACTTACAATTACGAAACACCACATTATTGTATCTCTAAAATATCACTTTAAATGTGCAAAGGTAAAGAGACTCAAAGTTGCACGTCGCCATTTTTAATCTCTCCAGTTTAGACAAGCAATCTGAAAGATGTCACGCACTCCCACTTAACATCTTTGCTGAGATCTGTCAGATTGTGATCACTCTGCAGAAAGGAAATGCCAACTTTAAGTTTCTCTCCCAAGCCTCCTATTTAAGTCAGCCATTAGATGACCAGTTAACAATCCATACAATAATATAAAAATACATGTGTCAAATCACAGTTTTCATCCATTATTGGAACGTAATAAAAATATTGATCATTTTAATGTCACCATTCTGCAAAACTCCAATGGCCTGCACGCAGTCTAGTGTCTGAATTACACTACCGGCGGGAACGCGGGGTTTCCCTCTGCTCGGGGAAAGCGAGCTCCTGCCAGTGTTCATTCCCGACTCGGTGACACACACGCTCTGTCACTCCAAGAATGAGCACACAGCTCTCACTTTTACACATGACAATGTGATTCAGCGTCATACAGTATTTGTTGCAGTATCAGTTTTCACATGAGTTCCATAAGCTCTAAACCAGAGCGATCATTTTGATTGGTTTCAGGTATCATCTGACAGAGCACATGATTTAAAGGTAATAGTAACTGGTTCCACTAGCACAGGCTGGTGACCTCGGTGGCTAGTTTAAAACGAGGATGATGTTTGCAGTACAATGAACACTACAGAATAAAATACAATGAGTTTGCAATACAGAGCAGATTATCCCAGTAGGAAGCAAACAAACAAAATACAATCTCTAGCAAAAATCATCAACCTTCCCTACTACTCATCTTAGCCCTTGTTAAAATACCCTGAGTAAAATGCAAATATTATAAATAATGCTGGTTATATAAGATTGCTCTAAAAATGAACCATAAATGCTAATTAATGCATTGCATTTTTTTTTACAACAGATAATGTAAAAATTACTTCTTAACCAGTCACAATATAAACATTAAGAATACTTATGTGGTACCTGGACGGTTTTGATTTGCTAGCTTTTGTTAGCAGTTTGGCAAAGCAAGTGATACATAAATGGTTTCAATGTAAAAAAAAAAATCATCAAAGAGAAGAGTATATAAAATGTACAGTAGTTTCTACCACCCTGGGCCGACCTAGGTCCCTAGAAGGCCTCCCCCACCAGGTCCCCGTCTGCCTAGAGGAAGAAGGCCAGTCCTCCAGCAAAGACAGCCCCGTCTTTCTCTCAGTTCAGTGACATTCCTCCGGGGGGAGAGGACGGGAGCCAGGTTCCCTCGAGTGCCATTCCCCAGATGTTCAAAACGCAACTAATTTATTAGCATTAGAAGATTTGGTTTATAGGGGAATCTCACGGGTCCAGTTTGGAGCCTACAAAAAAATGGATCGTTTTTAAGGATCACATTAGAATAGGAATCAGGGGTGAGGATGTGGCTTTTTATTGCATGGAAATGGATATGTAACCAAACATGACAAAGATCAAGCAGAAAAGCATGCCTACCATTGAAGTGGGGGTCCCTCCAGATTTTTTAATATTCTTGGGAGGCATCCCATGGAGGCGACTGAGTCTAGCTTGGAAACCTGGAAAATCAAAAGTACCCGGTTTAGGAGATTCTGCGATCACTGGAGTGGAGAATAAGACCCTATCAATTACAGCTTCAGAAAGGAAGTGGGAGGAGGGAAAACCTGTGGGACAGCAGTGGGGAAAAGGAGAAGCGCATCCTTATTAATAAAAGATCAGACTCAATGACAGGTAGGGTTCTAATGGGGTCAGCGCACAGCCATTGATTATTTAAGTATCAGGGATTTTCCTTCCTCTGGATCCCCCTCTCCGTCACCACGGGCCTAGCGGGAATGTGAATAAACCTTTCTAATAATTTGAAAGCACAGCAAGTGTCCATTTAGGCTCTTTCATTTCCATTTTAGCGGGTCCTCCCTCAAGGAACCTGACCCCTCCTAGACTGACCACTAGTCCCCTGTGCCCACCAGTCAGGACGTGCTACTGACCTCTTCTCCCGGGATGCGACATAAGGGGGAAAGAGCCAGTTAAGATACTTTCAAAGACGGGGTCCGGTAAGTTCTTGTCGAGCTCGGCCGGGTCCTCCTTCTCCCACCAGGGCACGACTCCTGCGATGCCGCACGCACCGCCCGACTCCTTTTCGTAAAACCAGTCACTCTGCTCGTCGTCGCCTGTGCAGACACAAGAACGCCCCCCAGAGAGTCGGCGTGACCACCCCAGTGAACACCGTTGTCGGGGGCAGGTTTCAAGCCTACAGGGCAGCAATGGAATCTGGATTTCAGATCAGCGATTCATTTTTAACACGAAGACAGGATGGGACAAAAGGAGGTTTGCAGTTTGTGTGGAAAACAATACAATAATTAATACGTGATAATAGTAGGATAAGCCCTGTGTTTCAGGTACTAAAAACTGCAAACCTCCTTTTGCCCCATCCTGTATATAGTACTTAGAATTTTTAGCCCTGGCTAGTGTGGCTCAGGGGACTGAGTGCTGGCCTGCAAACCAAAGGGTTGTTGGTTCAGTTCCCAGTCAGGGCACATGCCTGGGTTGCAGGCCAGGTCCCCAGTAGGGGGCGCATGAGAGGCAACCACACACTAATGTTTCTGTCCCTCCCTCCCTGCCCCTCTGACAATGAATAAAAAATAATTAAAAATAAATAAATAAATAAATAAAAATTATTTTTAGTCTATGTCCAAATACTACGTGGGACATAATTAAACAAAAAAATAATTTGTTATTTATCTAAAATTAAAATTTAACCGGGGACCCTGTATTTTATCTGGCAATCATATATATAACCTATTAAAGAAAAAAACAAAACAAAACCCTTTTTATTCTATCCCACAGCTTCACTTAAGAAATGTTTGGGTTTTGTTTGTTTTATTTTTAGAGAGGGGGCGGGAGGGAGGAAGGGAGAGAAACATCAGTTAGTTGCCTCTCATACCCATCCCAAGTAACCCGGGCTAGGGAACCTGCAACCCAAGCCTGTGCTCAGACCCGGGATCGAACTGCAGGAATTTTGGTTTGCGGGACAACACCCAACCAATGGGCTACCACGGTGAGGGCAAGAAATACTTTTTTTTAACACTACAACAAGAACTGCCATCAATGAAACCATAAAATGCTAGGTTTTAATAAACTGGTTAATCTTTTGGCAAAAACTGTAGGGGGAATCCATTTAAGTTACTACACTTTCCACATTAAGGAAAAACAAGCCTTAATCTCCTACTGGGAATTAAAAGGTGTTAACACTGTAGACCGTGTTCTTTGCAGCTGATAATGGTGCATATTAGCTTAATTTCATGATTTCTATGGAGTGCAAAAGGGGAAACAATCATGAACAGATGTGACTAAACAAAATTAATCTGATTAAGTTCATTAAGAAATGGTTGTGAGAAAGTTGATCTGAAATGAAAAGTGACAATGGCGCAGAGTTTACAGGGAGGCCGCCCTGGACCGGGTGCGGAGTCTGCACAAGGGAACCGCCCACGGCCGTCTGAGCACCTGCGGGACAGCAGCGCGGAGGGACGGGCCGCACTGCGAGATCCAGCGTGGGCGCGACTCTGCTGGGTGCCAGCGGTGTTTTGTGGTTTAAAAAGGGAATAATAAAGAAAGGGATAAACAGAAACACAGGAGGCAGGTGTTTTTTAATAATAAGAGAAAAACAGCATCTCGAATAGGATCTGATATTCATTAGGCCTTCTTTGTGATTCTTAGAATCTAACTACGAATTCTCGTTTCGGAGAGGGTCACCACCACCTCCACAAACTTTTTCACTTTGGAAAAACAGAGCGCCGATTTCCAAACTCTCCATCACAATTACTGTAAAATGCAAACTTAAAATAAATCTTCGGCTTTGACTGAAAATGATTTTATGGAAAGTAGCTATATTTCAAATTATGAGGCAGCAAAAAATGTAAAAGCAGTTGGAACACTGGAATCACCAATTTATTTCAATGGAGGATCTAATAAAAATTAGTTTTTAAGAAAAGCACATAAGTATCAGTTCTTTTACTAATTTTTTTGTTTTCTTTAAAAAAAATTTTAGCCCTGGCTGGCATAGCTCAGTGGATTGAGTACAGGCTGTGAACCAAAGTGTCGCAGGTTCGATTCCCAGTCAGGGTACATGCCTGGGTTGCAGGCCACGGCCCCCAGCAACCACACATTGATGTTTCTCTCTTTCTCCCTCCCTTCCCTCTCTAAAAATAAATAAATAAAATCTTTTAAAAAAACTTTTTTAAAAATTTAAATAAAATGACCCGAGTTCCAAGTGTTTATATAACTCTACAATACACCATCTCTATGTTGCCTCACGCACTCACCACCCAAAGTCAAGTCTCCTTCCACACCCTGGCTGATTTTTATATTAAAACTACACTGATTAGACATAAGTGTGCGAAAAGAAAGGGAGTCCCCTAAAACTGACTACCCTAGATCTTAATTCCAATTAAGACAGCATTGTTATAGAAAAATAATATTATTTTACTTTTCATGTGATACACAACCTTATTCTTTTTTTTTTAAGATTTTATTTATTAATTTTTAGAGAGTGGAAGGGAGGGAGATAGAGAGAGAAACATCAATGTGCGGTTGCTGGGGGTCATGGCCTGCAACCCATGCATGTACCCTGACTGGGAATCGAACCTGCGACACTTTGGTTCGCAGCCCGAGCTCAATCCACTGAGCTACACCAGCCAGGGCTCACAACCTTATTCTTAATAGGGAAGTCAATTAGCTAAAGATTGAGAACTTGGGCTCTTACATCAGACAGACCAGTTAGAATTCTGGTATTTTCCTGCATTGGGATGTTAACGTCAACTCTGTTAGAGTAGGTTTCACTATCATTAAGAAAACAGAAATCTCACAGGGATGTTTTAAGAATTAAATAAGAACTTAGAGTAATTTAGTGCAAAAAAAAAGCACTTAGTAATGTAAAACATAATAAACTTGCAATGAATGTTAGCATATTTTTCTGAGGTACTCAATGTTTTTCAAAGATTGATAGGCTTAACAAATTGTTGCTTTTTAAAGTTTTTTTTTCACTTATAACTTTGGGGAGACATGTATTTTAACAAGAATTTAGGTATATCTTAGCTCTAAGGTTCTACCATATTTCAGCAAAGTGTCAAGTTTGAAAAGTGTATGGCCTTTAAAAAAAAAAAGGTATGCACCTATTTATCCAGGACAAAAGGCTCATCAGTAAGCCACACATGATCACTTAATAATAATTGAAAACAATAAACTTTGTTGTTTCCCTTAGAATTTATTAATTCCCTCTAAAGATTCTTGAGAAAGGAAGTGAACATTTATGATTAAGTATTTGCATGTAGGCCTACTTCCCCCTTTTAGTTTTTCATATCTCCTTCCACAACAGGTGGTTTCAAAATAACGCCATGCTAAGGTATGAAAAACCTCAGGAAATTTCAAAGATAAGAAAGCTCTAAGTTGCGAAACATTACTGTTTAATAGTTTATAATACTGAACTTCCAAAAACTGTCTACTCACAAACTGGATAGGATGGCTGAATGTCACAACTAAATGAAAATGACAAATGACTTGCAAATCCAACCTTACAGACGCTTAAACAGAATTAGATACTTTCAAAATTATGCAGAGATGGAGAACCAGTGTCTTGGGAACTCGCTAAAGAATCAAAACTGAGAAGACTGAGGTGCATGTAAAGCTTTCTCAAGGAAGGTAATCCTTCTGAACATTATTAACTCCACACACTGGCTTTTGGAGGTAATCAATTACTCCAGGTCATGAAGACGCAGTGCTTTCCCAGCACGTCAGGAAACTGAACCCCAGCCCACTAAGAAGTGTGTGTAAGGTAAATGGATTGCAGTCATCAACATAGGAAATCATCAGGAATGAGCACAACTTAACAATGCAGACGTTTTCCCAGACAGAGAGAGAAAACATGACATGTCAGTACCTTGCCTGCCTTCGTCATTGGTGAACAACCCCGCATCCGTGCTGCTGAGGCTGCTGGAATCGCTGCAATGAGGGAAAAGGAGAGAAAAAGATCAAAAGAACGATTGATCTCTCGGTCATAAAATTTTAAAGAGACGCGGCAGCTCTGGGATGGGACTGAAGCCTGACAACGATCTGAAAGAAAACAAGATGATTTTTTTTAATCCAACTGCAAATACCCTGCTTCCATTCGCTCCAGAGCACATTCTTTTTGGCGCAGACAACCACGGGAACCTAATGGGACCCTGACAGTCAGCCAGATGTGGCTGCCACGAGGTGCGGACATAACGGATGCATTTTATGATCCGCTTTCATCGAATGCTCACCGCTCCTTGCTCCTGCCATGCCCACCGGCTGGAGCTGGGAGCACCACCACTCAACTAGACGGGAAAGGCTCCGTCAAGAGCAGACTGAGACTTCCTGCCTTCAGTGCGCGGGACACAAGGGCCTGGGATGCAATTCCTCTCCATGAGCATGTTTGCAAATATTCTGGGAAAGACATTACTGAAGGGTTCCCAACAACTCTGTTCCTTGGCAAGGAAGAAAAAAAATAAGTTCGTTAAATCCAAAGTTAAGGTCCCTCTGAGCAAAAGCTGAGCGAAAAAGAATGTTACCAATACGAAGGAGGGGTTGTGAGAAAAATCACAGGTTCGCATCACTTCCCCTGAAGTTCGAGATTGTGATACAGAGTCAAAGCTAGCCTACAGATTGAAGCAAACAGTAGGTATTCACATGACAGGAGTAAACTGTCACTGTCCATTCTAGCAGAAGCGATGCTTATGTGATAATAGGGTTAGTTAAAAAGCCACAAGAACAAGTGCTGTAATAAGAGGTTTGGCCTGTAAAAAATACTGATGTTCTTGAAAGTTTCTCATGTATTCTCCTTTCACGGCAATTCTTAATTTATCATCAGAAGATTGCCCCAGCTGATTTTTTTATATCATAATACATTTTCCATTAACATGCAGAACTCTGTCACCTAGCTTATTTTTTTAAAATGCATCTCAATCTGTTTTAAATAGTTAAATCGAGTTTAGGATTAAAATTATAGATGACATCTAAATCCATCTACTTTTCTCTGAATATAAAACATTGCAGTGTTTCTTTGATTTTTTTTTTTAAATCAACAAAAACTGTAGGAATTTGGGAGATACATTTCCCAGGGAATTCTGAATTAGTACCTTTTCCTCTTTCTCCAAATGAAGAGAATGTGTGAAGCTCTCTACAGTACCCAAGTACTAATGAACGAAAATAATACTTGCTAAGAGCACCAAACGCATCGTTCCCTATTTACACACACGTCACACACACTCTTCTCTGCACAGTGATGTTAGAGTAGTTTTTAAAGACACATCACGGACTCGATCTTTTTGCCACTTGGCTGCGCAGACTCCACAGGACTTTGTTCTTGTCAGAGACCAGAGGCGCCCTCCCGTCCGCCCCGCCAGCGGAACTCGAGTGTGGGGAGGGCCTTGGCCTGCAAACCCGGGGTCGAAATTCTTTCTCCAAAGCCCTTCAGTCAGAATGCATTTAAAATTCAGCATTCTTCCCATTTTAGAAAGGTATGTACTAAAATGCCCAAGGAGGGGTCTAAGGTGGCGGTCCATAATCAAACACATCAATACAGTCGTTCAATTCAGTGAATGAATGTCCACGTTAAATAGAGGTCAAATCAGGCCTGGCCACAAATAAATTAGCTTCATGGCTTTTGGAATTCAGATTTATGGACAAAGGACTGTGAACCTGTCTATTTATTTATTTATTTATTTATTTATTTATTTATTTTTGGTAAATGTTCTTCTGCTCTTTCTGAGTTCAGATTTGCCCCCTCTAGTATGTTCCACGTAACAACCAGGCTCCTTTTCAAAATGTAACTTGTAGACTAACAATCCTCTGATATCCTGAACAGGATCCTGGAAGAGAACAAGGTTATTGAATAGAAACAAAGGGAATTCTACTAAAATGCTGATTTCCCTTAATCATGTGTCCACGTTGGCTCATTACTTCTGACACAGGAGCCCGATGTTACTAACAGGGGAAACCGGGGGTGCGGTACATGGGAGCCATGCCCAGGCACTCGGCTCTGTCTCTGCAAACTTCTCTGCAAATCTGAGTACTCTTCATAGACTTCTGGTGAAAATCTACAATGACTCCTCCACACTGGTTGGGTTCCATTTAGATTTCAAGGCTCTCTACGGGTGGGGCCTCACCTGAATTCTTTCCATCCCCATCCCCGGTCATCTCACCCTTTTCCTCCCAGGGGTATCCCCATCTCCCCTCTCATCTCTCTCTGCCTTGTCCCCTCTTCTTAAAGACACCAGGAAATCAGAATCCCCTAAGACCAGCTCTTAGTACTTAAGGATCCTTGTCTTCCTTGGAGATATTTTTACATGTGTTTTAAACCCGGGGTCCCCAACCCCCGGGGCGCTGCGGAGGCCTGGATGAGGGCCTGTTAGGAACCGGAGGGCCTGTTAGGAACCAGAGGGCCACACAGCAGGAGGTGAACTTGACCATGACAGGCTTGAATCACCCGGAAACCATCTCCGCCACCCAGTTCCGTGGAAAAACTGTCTTCCATGAAAACAAAAAGGTTGGTGCCAAAAAGGATGGGGACCGCTGTTTTAAATGGCACAGTTTCATTTCACCTTGTAACATCTAGCTAGAACGTTCCACACATCATGTGCTCAGTACGTCAGGACACAAACTTGGAGGAAAGGGAGACTTTGCATTGTCAGCATCTGATGGCCTTACGGCCTGTCCGCTGGGGCGCATCTTCTCACATTTCTTGGGGTGACTTCTGTAATGCAGTACTCAGAGATACTCCAGAAGGCTTGTTGAACTAGTGCGTGCACACTATTCCCAACCTCCTGTCCCCCAGCTGTTCCCTGTATTTTCTCTTCTTCAAACCTGGACCTCCTCTGGGAGTCCACTTTCTCCATCATCCTCGCGGGTGAACTCCCACCGGCTCTCCCAGCGGCCCCTCTGCTGCCACGGCCAGAACCCCCGCCCACCTGAGGACGCACTGGAGATCAGCTGAAAACTGGACAGAACACTGTCCTCAGGATCACATCTGCTATCTGGACAACATGTGAATCTAATTGACAACATGCAAATCCAACTGAGTTTCTTCACGGACTTGCCATTACGTGTGAGATGAAACGCAAACCACTTTCCACAGCACAGGAGGCTGTCAGGACCTGCTCATTGGCTGGTCTCAACCCCACTTCGGTTCCAGCAGTGAACTCCGCGTACTTTCCCAAACACCAGCTTCATAGTCTACACCCGTGCACAGAGACTCCCCTGCCCAGGAACGCTAAGTCCCCCTCCAGGGTCCGTCGGGCTTAGTGCTGCATTAACTCATGGCTCCTGGCGGAGGCCTCCCCACCATCCCTTCCTCTGAGCACACTGCGGTCTCCGCGTTTGCTGTCGGGTGCTTCAGAAGACGGGGCTGCAGAGAACAGCTCTGTCCTAGCATTAGTCTTGGTACCATGGGAAGAGTAAACAGTTACTCAAGGTTCGTTTGATCAAACACAGACTGAAGTAGTTCAATTCTCATTTCTACATGGGCTCCAAGGAAATATGTAGCTTTTAATAGTAGAACAGCTTTGGGAGTACTCTCAAAAAACTGAACTCGGACAAATACCTTAAATATTTAGCAGTCTTCCCATAAAAGGACTATGTGCCTAACTTTTAAGTAACAAGAAAACCAGTCTCATAGGTTAAATTTTAAAGTAAGAGAAAAAATTTGCTTTAGTTTGTTCAAGAGTCAAAACATCCACTATGAAAACCTGGACCTGGTCTGTGGATGGCTGGGCATCCCGAGCATATCTGGGGCATTCAAATACTTTCTACAATGAAGAGAAATAAGGAGTTCCATCTCATTTCTCTCCCAGGGTAGAAGTCTGTCAATAAAAGGCAGACATCAATAAAAGGAGGGGCCTGGACAATCAATCCGGAAAGCAGGCGATCTATGAATAATCCAGAATCGGGTACTTATCTCCACCGCCACACGTCCTCCCTCCCAGAGTGAGCGAGATAATGACTCCTATGCCCAGCTGAGCGGCCCCTGGCCACAGGGGCCCAATACCAGCACACACCGATCATCCTGGTATTAAAACGACAACTTCTGTGGAAGAAAAGCAGATACTGTAAACTTTCCAGAGCCCCCCTGAAACATCTGTGATTTTCACCTCTTTAGAAAAAATGCATAAAAAGTAAACCATCTCTAAGAAGAGGTCTATTCTGTAAAATTTTGCCAGGAGGTCCTACTCATATCTGCAATCATAATCACATTTATAAGAAAAACCAAAATGTGTCAATACTTTATATATATATATACACACACACACATATATCACACACATAGATATGTATGTGTGTGTATCTATATATTTGATATGCAGGGCCCAGCAGAAGTAAGGCCTGCTTGAGTATGGTTGGTAGGGCTATAATACGGGTATAATAATTTATAGTTTTAATTTGAACATTTCACCTAAAGTGTCATATGGAGTGCTTGAGTGTGATACTGTTATGTTACAGAATGACATGCTTATAATTTTGGAATAAAAGAGGGGCATTATTTGTGCTAGGGCCCTGTACCTACACACGTATGTAAATAGGTCACAATCCACACGATTAAAATGTCAGCCCTACAAATAAAAATCACACACTCTTTCCCAGACCATTTTCGAGGAATGTTTTTTTCTGCATTGCTGTTCTGCATGTGGTTTGAAGAACACCTAAAAGGGTGAACAGTGTCGATACTTTCTCATTTCCTACAAGTGGTTCTTGGACCTGTCTGAAAGGAAAAGGAGCATTTACCTTTTGGCGCCACTACAATGGGGCGGAGAATCGTTGCAGGGGACTCGCTTTCCTAAAGGGACAGAGCAGACCGAGGGCTCAAGGGCCCGGCTTCCCCCGTTTGTCTCAGGACAAGGTCAGGTGGTCCGGACTGGACACTGGGTTCTACAGCCCCTAAGCGATCAGAATTCCTAGCAAGCTACGGACTGGAAATGTCGAGTCACACGGACGCTGAAGTGGCATCAACATCTGATTCTCAGTAATCGAATAAACTGATAAATTGTGAAACCAAAACAGAACCAAGTACGAAAACTCCGTATTAAACAAATAATTATAAACACAGTTCTAAGAGTTACGATGAGTTATTATTCGAACACGCGTCCTTTCTCAAGGAAAAATCTATTTCTTTTTCTCTTTGTAGCTGAAAATTAAGTCATTATTACACAATCAAAAGACTTCGTGTGAATCAAATAAGCAATTTTCCTTTGTGTGAAACATCATAAATTATCAGGAAATACGACCATGGTTACACAGGAATACCACTGCCATGATTATAATTCTTAATTATTTCAAAGCTGGATTAGTTAAAATACAAAACACATGCCACCACCAAACTATCGGCACTTATCTTTACATTTATTAGTAGGAAATGGAAAAGTCACCTTTCGCTCATGAGCTCGTCGGAGACTTTCTGCTCTTCGTACTCCATTTTGTCCTTACTGGTCTGGCTCATCTCCTCGCCTTCCAAAACCACTCCTTCGTCTTGGATTTTGGGGCCTTGCCTGACGATTCTCAGTTTCCGCTTCTTGACTTTGCTCCTGGTGAACTCTGGGTACTGGTACGCTCTGTCGTGGCCCATGTCCTGGTCCCTGCAGCCGTCCGGGGGCTGCGTCATGCTGCGCTTGCTGGAGAAGTCGTGCGGCAGGTCCACGGCCATGCGCTTGACCTTCCGCCTGCGGCGCAGGGCCCGGTTGCCCAGGCCGTCCAGCGCCAGGTCGGGCTCGTGCCACAGAGGCCTCTTGCCCCGCACGTTGTTGTTTGAGTTTGACGACGGCCTGCGCTTGGCCACCAGCATCTGGTCGTCGGAGTCACTGTGATCCTTCTTACTGCTGCTGTGATTCTCTCTGTAGTCCTTGCTCGCCTCCTCCAAGCTGGAGTCGGAGCCCTCGCTCAGGCAGGGGCCGGCCTCCCACGGGTGGTGCACGTTGTAGGACCTCCGTTTCCGCCCTCGCCTCTTCCTCGCCTGGCGCTTCAGCGGGCAGGACAGGCTGCGAGCGTGGTCTCCGGCCTCGGCGAAGCCGCCGCGGGCCTGCTCCGAGCTCTCCTCCAGCGCGGAGACCAGGTCGTGAACCAGCTCCTCCATGGTCCGGCTGAAGTGCCTGCGTGTTGGAGAGAGAAAAACAGTTAAAGCACACGGTCGGCCTTGGCCACGTTAACCTAGCTTCTTCCAGCACACAGACAATCCACTCTAAGTCTAAGTAAAACCAGCAGTCATGACACAAGTGTTTAAAAGCTGTTGAACTTCCCTATCCAGGATATTCGAGCTTCAAACGTTCTGATCATTTTAAGCTCCTTTGTCTTAGAGAGGTTCATTTATTAAACATAGGAATCAGGTCAAGACACTATCAGCAATGGGAGGTCTCAGAAATTTTATATTTTTACTGTGTAATTATGGAAAAGTTATTTCTGCCTAAAAAAATCCCCAAAAAAACTGTCCTTTAGCCTCCTCCTGCCATTTCCCTAGAGCCCGTCTTCCTAGATGAGACAGAGAGAGAACTTTCTCAATCCCCCAACCCACTTCTGAGAAGAAAGAACATACACCCCTCTACTTACTGGGGCCCCGCAGGTCACACCAGGACATGCCAGGTGGCCCGAGGCTGACCAGCCCTCTCGGGATTTGTGATGTACGGGAGAAGAGTTTAATCGAACGCAGGGCACAGATTTACACCACACGCTTGTCATAACCCGGCGACTCAGAAACCACGTTCAAGTTCAGACTTGAACTTGGTCTACAACGGCCCACCGTTTCTCTCCCAGCTCATCTGAAACAGTCACTGGGCCTTCTTGTTTGTGTTCTTGTATGAATTTGTTACTGAATGCATTGGGGCGACACTGGTTAATGAAAGCGTATGGGTTCCGGGTGTGCAATTCTAAAATATGTCATCTGGACAGTGTGTTGTGTGTTCACCAAAAAGCTCTTGGCTTTTTTCAAAAAAATAAACAGAAACCACGGAAGTAGGAAAAGTGTCCACGAGTCAGTCGACAAGGACGAACACCTGTACTCCTTGGGAACTTTGATAAATTGTGCTGGTCCTTCCCAACCAAACCCAGCTCGCAGAGATTCGAAATCAGCTGATGTGCTAGAGGGGTCGGGATTCTGACTGCCTTTTGTGAACATTACAGGTGATTCACATATGCACGCTGCCCGGGAAAGTTCCGAGCAATCGCTCCTCCAGCCGACTGCCAGACGCACTTAGGGGTGACAATACTCGGATCGTAGAGGACTGTGAAATCTCTCGGGTCCACAGCAGGGGCTGGCACGCTTTTCCACAGAGGGCCAACGAGGAAGCTTGTTGCGCTCTGCAGGTCCCTGGGTCCCTGTCGAGGCCACTCAACTGTCCCATCTCTGGGGGGCGGGGTGAATGCCTCAGGAAATACGTAAATGGACGGGCACGGCTGCATTCTAATGACATTTTATTTATGAAAACAAAGCCCAGTGACAGCAAGCCACAGTCGGCTGACCCCTGCTTCACCTGTCCTCAATTGTCTATCATTTCAGGCACTTGCAAGTTCCCTATGGCAACTTCCAGCTTTGTTTTTTCATTTTAATGGTAGCCTGGACACAAATGCGTTGTGGTCAACTGGATTTACCGTGTATAAGGCAACGCACCTGTAGCAGCCTCTCACCCTTGAGTGTTGACTATGCACCAGGCCCACGTCTAAGTGGTGCGTATGCACTGCCTGATTTCTTTCCCACACAATGACCCTGTGTGCTGGTAGATGAAGTGCACAGGGGCAGAGGCTAAGGGCCCCTTCCCCAAAGAGGCACATCTAGGAAGCGGTAGAAACAGATTCAGACTCCGGCAGTCTGGTCCCAGTCTGGTCCCAGAGCCCGGGTGACGGCCCAACTATAGCCGGAAACCCAATCCAGCCAGCAGTTTTGCTGATGATCGAGCCAGCTGGGGGTGGTGGACTTTAACTGCTGAGACAGACTGGGTATGCGTATCTGTACAGCCAAATGACTCGCACTTGGGTGTTATATCCCTTTGACCGGGGGAAAAGGGACAAGAGGCCTGCACCAAGAGCAGGCACAGGGCAGTGTGGGCCGTGGAAGGGGGCGGAGTTCAAGTTCAAAGAAGCAATGCTGTCATGGTCCGGCAGTGCGTACGCCGTGAGCAATCAGCACAAGATGCTGTCTTTCCATGACCGCAGTCTGCGTTTTCCAGGTCTGTCTCTTTTGACTTTTGAAATAGCTTATAGGGACACATTTATGAATCACTACACACACACACACACACTTTTTTTAATGGACTCTGGAGGGCCACGGATATGTCTTGTTTCCTTTCTCAAGGTCAGAACAGGGCATTAAAGAACCGAATGGGTCTTTCCCTCATTACCTCCGTGTTGGCCATTACCTTTTTGTTTCCCCTTTATTACATTCAATATTTTATTCTTTTCCTTAAACACTATTTTTCTTTGGAAGAAATGTACTCTGAAAGACCTGCTATCTTTGAATATAATGCTGCACCTTTAAAAAAATTACTGAAAGCCCATTTAACAAGTATTATGATGAGGATTCTTTGTCCAAAAGAAGACAGCCTCCCCTGGTTCTGGAGTAACGAACGGCATCTCTGGCCTCACAGAATTCAAGTCGTTGTGAGAGACCATCACATGATCAGTAGCTCATTTATTTCCTTTGCCCGCAGTCACACTGAAGACCACTGCATTGTAACACTTTACCCTCCAGATATTTTCTCAAATAAGGCCTTTCCCATTGAAGGGGACACCCGGAAACTTCCCTATCTGTTTATTAAGTATCCATAGGTTAAAAGTTTGTAAATAGTAGAATTCAGTATATTACCACTTTGCTAATTTGAAAGTTTTCTATTCACATTTGTAAACCAAATTCTTTGTTTGAAATCCATTCCTCTTCATTGGAAAATGAAATATTTTGGGAATAGTTTGTAATGATCATGATGTCTAATGTAACATTTCATTAGTAGTTGTTTTAAGATGGTACAAATAAACAAAATTATAGTCCCACTACCTCTATAAAGTTGGACTTTGTCAAGGGAAGTTAAGTAGATAAGCATTTTGTTTTTCTCAGGTGGTATTAAATTATGCTGAGCAATTAAGATGGACATTCAACCCAAACTTTGATGTGCTGAGTGTAGGTAAAAATTTTTGGTCAAAGGTCAACTTTGTCCCTCTGCCAGCCAATGCTAAACATCCCTAACATTCCAAGTGTGACTACTTGGGCTGGTTTAGAAACTCCTTGACCTAACTATTTAAACCATCCATTAGCAGTAACTTTTCCTCTCCTTTTGAAAAAGATAGCATCAGCCTGAGGGCATCTCTGTTATTCTGAAACATGTAGATAATTACTGACATTACATTAATATTAGGCAACAAATATGGAATAAGATTCTCCGGGGGGCGGGGGGTGGGGGAAGGCTGAGAGGGAACTCTAGAGAACATGAGTGCTGCATGGGACCTTGGGCAAATTCCTTATTTTCTGGTTTTTATTTTTTAGGTATATTTTATTGATTATGCCATCACAGTTCCATTTTTCTCCTTTATCACCCTCCACCCTGCACCCCTCTCCCACCAGTATTTTCCCTTTAGTTCATGTCCATGGAGCCTACATATAAGTTTTGTGGCTTCTCCATTTCCTATACCCCCCCTGTCTATTTTCTACCTACCATTTATGCTTCTTATCCCTGTACCTTTTCCCCCCTTCTCCCCTCCCCCTCTCCACTGATGACCCTCCATGTGATCTCCATTTCTGTGATTCTGTTCCTGTTCTAGTTGTTTGCTTAGTTTGTTTTTTAGGTTCGGTTGATAGTTGTGAGTTTGTTATCATTTTATTGTTCATATTTTTGATCTTCTTTTTCTTAGGTAAGTCCCTTTAACATTTCATATAATAAGGGCTTGGTGATGATGAATTCCTTTAATTTGACCTTTTCTGGGAAGCACTTTATCTGCCCTCCCATTCTAAATGATAGCTTTGCTGGATAGAGTAACCTTGGATTGTAGGTCCTTGCCTTTCAGGACTTTGAATTCATTATGAAAATGGGTATAATTTCTAACTTGAAGGGATTCTTGAGGATGAGACTGGGGCATTATTGTGTGACAGCGGTTATTTCAGCTTCCAACAGGGATGATGGCTAGAGGTCATCGCTAAATAAGAGACACTGGTCATGGAAATATCAAATCCGTCTGCTTAAAATGTACAACCACAGCATGAATGCTGGAGGTATGTATCATAATAAAATCCAAGACCCTCCGCCTCTCTCAGGTCTTGGCCCACTGCATGGTGGGGAACGTGGCAACAACAGGCACGTGCAAACGTCTTGAATACAATTTCAAGAAGTTCAGGGACTTCTTGAAGACTCCAAAGATCTTCAAGACCTTTAAAAAAATCCCACGTTAAAAAGCAATTAATGCTTTGTATCTAGATCTGCTTCTTTCTTACTAATATGCAGATATAAGAAAAAAGGAAATCACTCTTCCGAGTTCAGAGGCAAGCAGTTCCCCCGCACGAAGCCCCGCCCCTCGCTCACAGGAAGCCAGAGTCCCAGCAGCGCGCACTCCGTGGAGGTGCTGCTGGCAGCTGCCACTGTGGCTTCTGTCACCACGGTGCACTGGGAAGCCTTGTTTTCCTCCTCACCCTAGCAACTCGGTGAGCAACAAACCACAAGCGGCTTTAAAAGAAAAAAAAAAAGTCTCATTCTACTTTCCAAATAGGGATCTAATAAGGCAAATTTACTGATTATTTAAATTTGAAGAGCACACTTTTGATTTGTCGTTACTTCATTTAATGACTGCAAGAGACACTCGCTTCCTTCCTTATACGCTAACTGCTCTCAAGACATAAGCTATTGAATAAAAAACTGCCTGAATGAAATAACACCAAAGTCTAAAACAAACAAAAAAAAAAAACCCACTACAATCTAAAAGATAATTCACAGCAATTCCTGTTAACATGCATATATTAAAGCACCCAGGCAGCTTCTATATGTAGGCAATTAGTCTTATTCATTGCTTATTCATGGTAACTGCTTAATATGTATTGAATATATAATATATTCTGAAGTCCTAGACTAGCAATGAGAAGGAAGACAATTGAATATTAATTGCAAGCACCTAGCACAATGCATGACACATCACAGATGTTTAAAAAAAATCTGTTGGATAAACAAATTAATGAAGGACTAAATAAATGAACAAATAGCCAAGGAAAAATATGATGACTGAAAATGTAGACAATCCAGATTTCAAAATCTCTGTCATACTGACAAGTTAGACACTCTAAGTTTTCAGTTAAGCGAATGTGTCAGTTAAGGGCACATTATGAAAGATGGTTTAAAAGGTGTACAGCTTGCCGTAGATGAGGATGCTAAGAAGCTCTACCTGGATTAAGGAGTTATACGTCCAAAATCATAGTGCCCATTGCTCTGATTCCTAATTGTTGAAACAGAAACTCATCTCAGACAAATGTGACAATGTGAATCTAAGTTTAAGACAACAACAACAAAAAAGAGCTGTTATTAAAAAATCCACATTTTCCACTATGCAGTATTCCAGACCTAAAAAAAAAAACTCAAAATACCAAGTAGGAATGAAACTATAGGAACAAAGGTCCAGAATCAACACAGGTATTTTTAGTTCAATCTTTAAAAATACTTCTTCCAAAACTCCAGAAATTGAATTTAAACATAAATTATTAAGTGTAAAAATAAAGTGTATCTAAATAGTAAATATTGTTTGTTCACCATATAAAACAAATTTTAAAAGGTTAACATTAGATGTATCAAGTTAGATATATTTTGGATCCTAATTTTGAAAATGTATGTATATGATGAGTCAGGAGGTGGCAGACACTCTCTGCTTTCATGTTTTTTTAATAAAAACATATGAATCACTTACAAAATTAACATGAACAAAAATATATATTCATTTCCTGACACACAAAGAAATCAGGATCCTTACTGTTTAACTGTATAAAACTTTTCTTCCTTAGGCTTCTTTACTATAAAACATAGTATCAGTTCTATTTTGCAAAATGTTGAGAAAAAGATAAACCATCTACATTTCCCCAATTGCTGCTTTGACATTAGAGAGTAAGTTGTAGCTAAGATGAGAGTTAAGATACATCAGGAATTCCAGGTCAGTTAACAAATCCAGGTGTATACTGTCCAGTTTACCTATTCCTTAAGATATATGTTATTCAGATATCATAGGCAGTATACAAGGAAGGTTAAGAATTTTTGTAAAATATACTGGAGTCATACTGCAAATATGACACTTGGGCCAGTTACTTAACGATATTTGCCCCCTCACCATTCTACAGTTAAAAAACAAACAAACAAACAAAAAAAAACCCAAAACCCTATCTCAATAGAGTTTGCAAGAGATGATAGGTATGTAAAACCTGCCACTAAGTAACAACTTGGTAGTAGCTTGTCACTTGGTAGTAGTTTCCCCAGGCTCACTGGGATTTCCACTGGGGTGAAACATACAAGCAAAGTATTGTAAATGTCCTATCAATGAATGAAAAATTTCCATTAAGAAACACTGAATGACAGGATAGTTGTGGAGATAAACTAGAAAATAAGGGTTCCAGTCATTTGGAACACATTCATTCTGCAAAATCAGGCATGATTTTAAGAATTTCATTCAAAGACACAGATTCAGGCGTGGACACATATCTCAGTTGGTTAGAATGGGGTCCTGATACACCAAGGTTGTGGAACAACAAATCGATGTCTCTCTCTCTCTCCCTTCTTCTCACCCCCTAAAAATCAACTTAAAAAACTGCTTTAGTGCTAGACACTATTTTATACTCGGGTGTCATAAGGGTGAGTCATATGCTGCCAGTGAAAGCTTGATATGCTCTTTAAAGGAGAGCTGTGTTATAAAGAGGTACCTTACCATGATTTCAGTGGGAGAGTTGAAAGAGTCATATTTTCTAAAAAATTGTATAGTCTCCTATCCTACAAATCAGTATCAACACAACCAGAACAAACCCATCTACACAGTCCATTTTGCCTCCCTCCCTTAATAAGATATGAAATAGGGAAACATTAAGATAGGTACCCTGGAGAGGGAACTCCAGGGTGATGGAAATCTCTCATGTCTTGCTTGGTATAGTGGTTACATGGTATATTTACTGATAAAACAAAAAATACTAAACACTTTAGAGATATATGTTTTATTATATACTAATCACATCACCACAATAAAATTGTACTCCCTGCTTTGATGAATGGAAAATGTATTAGAAGGAACATAACCAATCTACAATCATTATCAAATGAACTACAGAGTTTTACCACTTTCAAAACATTTCAAACAAGATACTCTTTTAACTTTCCAGCGATAGGTGATGCAAAATAAATTCTTTGAGGTCACAGACTCCTAGAATTCCCCGTGTTCTCATTTGCTACAGCATCTAGGAATGGACGTACATTTTTTAGCCACATTTCACTTGTGGTTCAACATTTACGTTTGAGAACTGTCAGCGGAAAATCTGCTCTGAGAATTAACTGTCAGTGGAAAATCTGCATGTTTGTTTCATTGCTTGTCTTGTGTACGGTTGGAAGAAATGAGGCTAGGAGGAAATAGGACAGACACTGGAGTTTTCCACTGGAAATCCATCACCCAGCTCCCAGATCTAGGACTAAAATATGCATGGCCATTTGGGACAAGTCACTTAAGTATTCTGAGCCTGTAATAATCTATCACAGGGCTGTCAGGAGGATAAAGTGGAAGCACTTTGAAAAGTCAAAGCAATATATTATTCTCAAGTGCCATTGGTTGATGTGTCACTGTGGACTAGTCAAACCCCAGACTTAATCCTGGCATTTACATGTCCTTAGGAAACTCCCATACCGATCTCCTTTGAACTACAATGAAACGTTCATTATAGTTCAGAACAGAAATGGGTAGGTTACACCCACTCTAAAAAAGAAAAAAAAAAAAAGGGTGGAGCGGGTTGGGAAGGTGAGGTCGCTTCCACTGCCAAACTTCCAGAACTCTAGAGCTCTGGGAGTTGATCTTCCAAGACACCTGGTACGATCTAGGCGGTTTCAAAGGGGCAACACGGGACTCGGAGGCCTTCTTCCCGTTCCTAATCTTGTCAACAATCTCGAGGAAGTGAACTGCCCCGGCAGGACCGAAAGCTTGGCTCCTAAAATCCCGCGGAGTGTTCGACAAGCGATCAGCCAGCGTTCACTGTATTCCTTCGCAGGTCTTTGGCACACACCTGAGATCGCGAGCATCCCAGGCACGCGTGGGAGCCAGGCCCGTGTTCAGGTCGTCCGCCACCTCTCCCTCCCCCTGCCAGGCCAGGTACAGCGGCCTCCGGCCAGCACCCCGGTCCTGCTCGCCCATCCCCAGGGCCGCCAGCCTCACCAGCTGTTCCCGGCGGCGGGAGCTCCGATCGGTTGGCGCCCGGCGGCCCCGAACATTAACGACACCCGGGAGCCTGGCCTCGAGGCTCAGGCCCGAGGACAGACTCCAACCACCACCGCACCAGCGACTTGCACCGAGCAGTTCAGCATTTTGAGCTGAACTTCCGGAAGCGGACGCGAGGCGGAAACCGGACGTCGGGAGCAACCACCCGTCCTCCGACCCCTCCCGTCTGCGTGCCTCGCCTTCGGTCCCCTGTTTTCACGCGCAGAGGCAAATAAACTAAACTTGGTCTCCTACTCAAAATTGATTAATTTTTAATAGCTTGTAAACTAAAATAGGGTGTGAAAACGTGGGATAGACGAAAAGTCGGACCCCCCCCCCGGTACCTGCCTTTTGGTTTGGCCCGGTTGCCTTGGAGACCGGTAGTAACAGCAGTGGGACAGCAGAGGCGGGGAGGCGATGGCCACGCTGGCCAGGCTGCAGGCTCGGTCCGCGGCTTTAGCGCATCAGTACTACTTTAGGAACAGGTAAGTCACCAGCGCGGGGGTTGTGCAGAGCCCTGGCTTGACTTGAGGCAGTTGTTCCTCAGCAGGAGTCTCCTAATAACAACTCTCCTTACCCAATAATGACAAATCTCCCCGTTCATTTGTGGCTGCAAACAAGCACAAGTTTAAAAGTAGTATTAGCATACAGGGGGTTTTATACATTGTGAGGGGAGGGGCCTATCAGCCTGAGATGATTTAAGCAATAGCCCAGCGTAGATAAAATTGTGAAATGAAGTGCTTTTCTTCGACGTCATCACTCCACAATTTGCCCAAAGGTTTAGTAGCCTGATGGGGGTCACCTAGTGTGTCCACCGTCAACCTGAGAATTCGTGCCTCCACTATTTCACCAGCACCACTGAACTCTGTTCTGTGACTCAACTGTGTCCGTGAATTGACAGTGTCTAACCCTTTCGGGATAATTAGCATCAGGATATTAATTAGTAGAAAGCTAAGGAAGGTACTAGCTTTCTTGGCCCCCGCCCCACACCCGAACTTCTCTCTCAGGATGAGGCTCATTTTAACCGTGGCCTGCTGGAAGCCCCGCCCCGGGAGGTTTTCCGACTCAAGAGAAATGCTGAAACAGTGAAGCCGACAGTGGTAGAAGGTAGTGGCACCGCCGACCAGTGGAAAATAAGTCAGTAAGACAAGATCTTCCCCAGCCGTTCTTATTCTGGCATTTACCTCACCTACTACATTCTTAGCGTGAGCTGCAGGTACCGCTCTTACAGCACTTAGTCACAGTTCCGTTGTGCATTCTGCTGTGAGATAACAGCGCTGGTCCCTCTTAACCCACAAGCGGAGAGGCATCTCGTGGCCATCATCATTTCGGTCTCCCACGTCTGTCCTCGTTTCTGACCCATGCTAGCTGCCCAATAATTATTTCTCTAATAAGCGAATCTTTCGATCACTCCTCCGTCCTGGTTTAAGTAAACATGTGAAAAATAGCTAAAGACAAAAATTATCGGTTTATTACCTGTAATTATTTTCTGTGACTTTATTTAATGACTGCCAGAGTCACTCAATGGAGGAAAATGAGATTTAGAAAGTAAGTTGCGTGCCAAACCCAGGTCTCGTGCAGTCTGATGCCTGGCAGTCCCAAGCGTATGTTTGGAGTGGAAGGACTCCAGATCGGCAAGTCTCTGCCTGGACGTACGTTCAGTCGCTGCGTATGCCAGCCTCATCCTGCAATCCATTCTCCCCATAAACTTAGTCAATTTGTCTCCGACTCCAGTGTAAGCAACAGTTCCTGATGGCATTTTTGGTCTAATTAGACAAGTCATCTAATGGGGACCGTCATCTCCGTCTTGTTTGCCTGAATAAATGACAGCTTAGTGGATAGAAATGAGTCCCATCCTCTGGTTCTAATTAACTGCTGATTTTTTTCTGTTACTCCTGGTACTCAATTCTGACTAGCAAAAGTTAGGCTTCCGCCAGGTATTCATGGGTGATTTTTGTCCATACACTGTGTTCTTTGTAATCACTCCCCATTTTTTGAAGCAGGTCATTTGAAGCCATGTATGTATGCATCCTTTCCACCCAGGGAAGGGGGCTCTGCCCCTCCCGTGCTGAACCCCCACCTGCGCACCAATTTGGATCCCCTTCCCATCGGGCTTGGGTTCCGCTTCCCCATGCTGGCTGCACTTCCCTGCGGGACCTCTGCTAACCTTTTCTGGGCACCCTAGGCCAGGCCTTCTCCCCATGGGAGCACTCTTTCTGTGACATTCTCCCCACAGGCAGTCCCCACAGGTGGAGGCCCACCTTGGCCACCACAGGTTCGGTCGCCCACACTGAGCACTGCGGCCCCTCCCCACACCCCCCGCCCAGCACCGATTTCCTGCTGTCCTTGCCCACGTGCCACTTTCTTCAGGACTTCATTGTTCGGGAAATACAGTGAAGAGAAGTGAAAAGGAAAGAGTAGAAAAAACAAATAATAAACCATTTTAAAAATACACTGTAAATGTATTTGTAGCTCATTATCCATTGAGCTGTGAATAATAATAATAATAATAATAATAATAATAATAATAATAATTGTTGTGTGGGTCACTGGCCAGCAGTGATCACGGAATGCTATGGATGGCTCGACGATAAACACGCGAGAAAAAACATGCACAGAGACAGACCAGTTTCTGTGGGGAAGTAGGGATGAAATGGCCACCCCCCCCAGTGGGGAGCGCCCCGATTTACCATCCATACCTGCTTTTATTGGGCTCATTTTGCATAATAATTCAGGTAAAGTACAGTACTCATTAGGGGGAAGTAAGGAACTATAGAAAACAAGGAACTCTGCTGGTCTATTTTGAGTCGGGGTAAAAGAGCTGTAAGACTTTGAGGAACAAACTAACTTCCTCCTTGGACCCCTTTCATTCAACTGAGAGCATCCTAAACAAAGAAGGTTTCACAGTAATTTACATATTCTTTCTTAGGCCTGATCACCTGGGGAATCCGCCCTTTCCAGCACAGGGCTGCACCACCCTGTCATTGTTTCAGGCTTAGGTGGAGCACGGGAAGCAATGCAAACAAGAGATAAGGAGATTTTCTCCCAAAGGATGAGAACTCAGGCTGTGTCAAAGCCGAGGAGCGAGGGTCCATCACCCCCTTTTGCTGCAGCCCCCCAAGTCCTTCTTTTGGGGGGCCTCCCAAAGTGATCGTGCCTGTCTTAGGTTGTTCCCCCCTTGGGGAATCTTACCCGTCTTTGGCTAACCGACCAAGCTTTTTGGGGTTCAGTTATGAATAAAGCAGCATTCCTGCCAGGGAGATAAGCTTTTGTCTCCTAGCTGGCTAACGGTTCCAAGGGTGTTCCCTTAGCCTTAGCCTAGGCGGGGGTTTCAGCTTCTGATACCAGTCAAGGGTGGTTCCCAACAAATAATAATAATAATAATAATGTGGGTTGTTAATGAAAACAAAACATGGCTTCTAACTTCCAAAATGGAGTCCAGTTCCTCATCATCAAGCACTGCCCTTTTATCCTGCACACGGGTGATAATCAGAACATGAAATACCGATTGCGTGTCGTTTCTGCCTTTAAGGAGGTTGGTGTCCTTGAGACCTATTGGTGAAATGATACTCTGATCATAGTAATTCCACACATCAATGTATCTCATCATACGGGGCAGCTAACATTGGAATTTTGTTCCTGGTGCCCAAAACAGTTACGAGATATGATAATGAGAAGGAAGAACTATTGGGGTTTTAATCTAGTATTTATTCAGTAGCTAATACACCTAGGTCAGCAAAACTACAGTACGTTGATGTGTAAAATGCATCACTTCTGCATATTAGTGAAAAGATATTTAACCACCCATTATTTTCATTTTCTGTATATTGTCAGTTAATTTAGGGCCACTAATGACATACATGAATACAGCGTTATTCAGGGTTATAGTACTTCTTTCTAGTTGAAGATGATGTGACTGGAAACTTCCAGCTTTTTCCTGATGTTTTATTACATTCCTGGTAATACTTTGGGTCTTTCATCATTAATAATTCATTGAGTATTCATTGTAATAATACTGATCATAATAAATTTATTTCAAATTCGTGTAGATGTCATATTTTATTCACTGCTATAGGATTTTCATTGTAATTTGGAACTAATTAATATACCATTAAAATAAAGTGTTACCCACATTTTTCATTTTAAACATAAAATGTCTAGCAGTTCATGACATAGTGTAGGGGTATTCAGCATCCCAGCGGGAACTCAGGTATCTGTAAATTTCATTTTTAAGCGGCTGAAAAAAAGGGGCAACAGATAAATGTGTGTAGAAGTCAAATTTCAGCCCATAAGTTAAAACTTAGCAGTAAGTTAACTATGAATTATTTTTTAGTGTTTCCCTTTAAAATGTATAGTTCTGATAAGTATAGTGCAATAGGCATGCTTGTATTTTATACATTATTATTTGTAACTTCAAGGTGGGACAGTTGAATTTTGCTCTTGATGATGTATTACGTTAGCATTATCACCAGCAGAGATCAGAAAACATAAACTCGAAGCAGATAATTCCATTACTTATCTTTTGCATGTCTAAGGACAATTCTAAGTAAAGGGTAAGTTCAAGGTATACATTAGTTCAAAAGAAGCATCAGTTGTATCTGTATACATTATTCGTATTTTTCTTCCTTCTTTGTAAAAGGTAGTCAGTTGATTATTGGTGGGGAAAAAGAGGCAGGCGTGCTCAGTAATTTAAATGGAGTCAATTAAGGACAACGGATCCAATGTAATATTAACTGTCAATGGTAAAAATGGGTTAAATAACCATAAGAAGTCATTTTACCCCATTACCCTGACTTCCACTTCTCCTCGGCCTTGTTGAATGAAAGTAGATATTCTTTCTTCATCTTCTTCATCCTCTCCTTGGAATCGCTGGCTCTGCTGGCTCTGCAGCAAGTGTGTCGCTGTATCTTTTCTATTTTCGCCATGAAGGACGATCTGTTTCCTGCACTATCGCATCTTACTACCGGCCAGGACGGTGTTTTACAGAAGCATCGACCGACTGCCTCTCACGCCACCGCCCCTCGGGACGCTGACGTCGTCGCCACGTCTCCTTCGTGGCATCGGCCGCCGCTCAGTCACGGGCTCCCATCTGCTGGTTTCCCACTAGCGTCTGGGACGCTGCAGAGTCCTGCTCTCCCACCGTTGGGCCTTCTCGTCCCCAAATGCGGCCACTTCTAATAAAGTCATTTGCACAAATTCGGGCTTTTCTGTGTATGCATTCACGTATACATACAGTTAAAATTCTTTTACAAATATAGACAATTATAATACTGTACTATAATATCTTTTTTCCACATCAGACCATGTTATGTCTCTCTGTTTGAAAACATGTTGACCCCCTTAATTTTTTGTAAAAATGCGAAGTCAGGGTAGGCTCCCTGGAGGAAAGGACTTGAAGCTCTTCTGTCTCCCACATGGAATACTCATAAGATGAGTCCAGAGCCCTGGTCAGCAGCCTCAGTTGGTTGGAGCACCCTCCCGCACACCAAAAGGTTGTGGGTTTGACCCCGGTCAGGGCACATACCTAGGTTGCAGTTTCAGTCCCTGGTCGGGGCACATACATGAGGCAACCGCTTGATGTTTCTCTCCCTTCCTCCTTTAACAGAAATAGACTTTCTGAGAATTGTATCTACAATTGGCACTCTGTGATAGATTTATTTTCCTTTGAGGCAATTCATTGAACTGATTCATTGAATGAAATATGTAAAGTTTTTTTTTAAATTTATTTATTTATATTTAGAGAGGGAAGGGAGAGAGATAAGAGAGAGAAACATCAATGCGGTTGCTGGGGGTCATGGCCTGCAACCCAGGCATGTACCCTGTTTGGGAATTGAACCTGTGACACTTTGGTTTGCAGCCTGCGCTCAATCCACTGAGCTACGCGAGCCAGAGTGAAATATGTAAGAATTTTAATGTCGCGTGATATAGTGGTATTTAAATAGTAAATTGAAATTATATGTTTTTCAAAACATGAAAATCTAGCACAGTACTGTTTTATTTCTTTATAACGTCACTGGGAAATTAATTAGTTGCAAAATAAGCGATTATAAAAATAAAAAAAAGTAAAGCTGTTGAAAGCACGTGGCCCCTCAGAGAAAGGTTAATTTTTGAAACATAGCTCATGGTTTCTCAATGCTTTTTTCTATTTAGTACTTTAATTTTATTTAAAATGACATCTGCACTATAATGATCATTTTGGAAGAAATTAAAGATCAACTTCAACAGATTGGTTTGCTTAAGAATTATATTAGTCACTAATGAAAAGCTTTCGTTTTTTTTTAAGTGTTGTGGATGTGTTCCGGAAGAAGGAGAATGACGCGGCAGTTAAAATCCAGAGCTGGTTCCGAGGGTGCCGAGTCCGGGCGCATATCAGGTACCCTGGCTTTGTCGCGGGGCATGCAGATACTCGTGAATATATGCCCCTTTCAAAATGTAGCCTGGGCGCTGCAGGCTCATTTCCAGTGATCTCTTGTGTCACTTGGAATGAAGTGAATACATGATAATGACACCCTTTTTAACATGTAACCTTTTTTGGTCATCTTGTCTTACATGTCAAAAAGCTAAATTATATTGACCATTTCTCAACTTTTAACAATTCTCAATATTATAAACCTGCTTGATAAAATTCTTCTCTTCAGATTCCATAGGAGGTGACAGGTAACTGGACTTGTACTTATAGCAATTAATTCATTGACTGGTGGGGGAAAAAAAAGGAAGCTATTCTAATTTTTTACAACAATTTGGTAGCTAAACATAGATGATACCAGAATGATACTATTGCTATTGCAAAGAGATCGAAGTTGATTCTTAACAGTTCCACTGTTTAGTCAGTGCTCAAATTTTCCTTCAGTTTTCCTTTGGTTCTAACAAAGTATTTCCCTAGATAAGGTGGAGGAGGAATATGCCTCATCGGTAATAATTCAGAATGTGGGCTGTGGATTGTACTACATATGGCCTTATATTATTAGCGATAAGGAACCAGACATGCAAATTAAAGTGGGAAGTTTTCTCCTTCATTCACAATAAACTAGGAACATGGCAGCGAAGAGTCTTTTTGAATTCTGCAGGCTAGGTAATATAAGGAAAGGACAAGGAGGGGAACTATTTTTTGTCCTCAAGAATGATTTCGAAATTCTCATAATGATTCACATCAATAGTGCCTGGCTTATTTCTGAACATGCCACAGTGACCTGTCTTAGACTCTTAACATCAAAAAGTATGTTAGAGAGTAAGTATTGAAAAATAATTGAAAATTTTTTAAAAGTTTAATCAAAAGCCCCAAGGAAAGACTGAATAGTTATGTATGCCTTTTCCCTGCTTCTAGGATTTACAAATTACACCCCACAATGATAACTCCCTACTTTTTGAAAGTACACATCAATTTGTCTTTGAAGTTTATATTTTGAATTGCAGGAAGGTATACTGTAAGCGAGTTTTCAGAAATATTTTTGTCTCAATGAAAGTGTACTAATAAGCGTATTTTTCACTCAGGTATTTAAACAGAATAGCAACCACTGTTCAGAAATGGTGGCGAGGCTACTTAGGAAGACAGCACTGTCAACTCATTGTAGAGGTAAATATTATAAAATTTGTATGTGTTAGCATCAAAATGATTCCACATGCCATAACTTATTCACTTCAGCCGTATTTATAGGTAATTTTAAAGTTACTTATGGATAAGTATATAAGGACAAAACTGGATTTATTTTTAGTATGAGATCTCTGTGGAGGGGCCTTTTCTGATTTTTCCATGCAGAACCAATGACTTATTTCTTTGCACCCAAACTGCACCAGAGGTTTTATTTTTGTTAAAATACCTTTCACAGGGTATGCATTTATACATACTCGGTTGTTGATGATTTTCTCTACTTCCTGGATGGTGAGCAGACACTGTAGCCTGTGCATTTTTGGACCACCAACGTTTAGGCTAATCCCCGGCCAATCCCACAGCACAGTCAATAATCATGAGTGAAACTGAAGTGCCCCAAATTACTTGTACAAAACCTAAAAATGTGACAGTTTTCCTCTGTGCTATTTCCCATCCTCTATTAGTGATGGTTGGAATGTTTTGAAGATTTGCCTTAAGAAATACAGCATACCACAACTATATATAACCACTGATAGACTTGCAGAAGTATATAGTAGCATGGCTACTAATAGCTTCGTTGAGTTTTAGGAAATTAAGAAAGAAAAGGTAATTTTCTTGATACAACATGGAAAGGCTTCTAATCAGTGGACCACTTCATTAATCTTCTGAGTTGTTTCTATGTTCTGATAGTTTGAATTTGTTCTTCATCTATTCTTGATTAGTTGCACCAAAGTGAAATTAAAATGTATAGAGAGGATAAGGAAAAATAGACGTATGTAATTAATTGATAAGAGTCCACCTTGAGAGAGACAATTTTTAAAACATATTACTACAGTACAGGGACTACTTAGAGGAAGATTCTAGTATCTGAGATTTAATTAAATAACTAGAGCCTTCAAACAACAATGCTGGCAAATGTGCTCCCCTTGATAGGTTCCTTTATCCGGGTCAATGGTGCAGCCGATTAACCGGAAACCTAAGCCCGAGAATCAGTCATCTTAGACTAGCCACCACCCCCCTCTCCCTAACCTCTGTGTCCTACGGGTCATGAAATCCTTCCCACTTTTCCCCACAAGAGTCTCTGGGTTCCAATCCGAACTTCAGCATTTCGCTCCCGCGCCTGTTGCCATGCTCCTGGCCATAGCCCACAGCATCAAGTTCACGCTCTCCGGCGTGACGCGTCCGTTCCTTCGTGGTCTCACACTGCTTCTTACCTGACCTGACTTCTCCTCCCTGCACCCGTGCAAACACGCTTCGGACACGTTAAGCCGTTGGCCATCGCCACAATTTGCAGGATTCCTGCAGATTCTGTGTACTCTGCCCCCGGAACGTCCTTCCCCCCTCTGACAGGCTGCCGGTTGGTCTGAATCCCTGGTTACCACTCAAGACTTTCCTTAACTCTGAGCCTACCTTGATCTCCTGAAGCCGAACAGGATAGGAGGCGTGTCTTAGGAACGCTGGGTTCCTTTCGGCATCCATCCGCAAGGGTGCAGCGTGTTCTTTATTTCCCTCCCTCATCTGAATGGCTGAGACTGTCCTCTCTGTTTCTGTATCTCGGACACTTCACAGCGAACATTGCACAGACAGCCCACAGACATTTTTGCTACCTGGATCAAGGAACGATCCACAGGGGCGTAAGTTGGAAGACTTTTGCTACGGTCAACAGGGCTGGTGATGGGTAGCAACGTGTGTTAAAAGTATTCACCTCCCCTTTCTCATGAGACAATGATCCATCCCCCCTCCGAGCTCAGCCAGATATTGTGGACAGTGGGACAGGTGTTACCCCCAAAGGGAGGCTGGAAGTGGCTTTTTCTCTCTTCCTTTCCTGAGCTAAGATGAAGAGACCAGCGGAGCCTGGCAACAAGGGGACTCGGCCCACTGTAATGTGAGGGAGGCAGAAACTTTTTTGTTTTGCAAGCCACGGAGGTGGCTGCATCTTTATCTCAGCAAAGCTGATTAGTGGTTACAACGACGACGACAGGGCGACGACAGCGTGGGTGGAGATAACACTCGGAAGGGCAAGCTCGGTGAAGCCTGCAGGAAGACGTGGTGAGCTCCGAGTCTGCGGTGATGCTAGGACACCTCCGTGTGGTGGTATCTAGTAAGGAGATTTCGCTCTCTCTGCAGAGTGGCTGGAACGCCGTCGTGGGCATCCCACAGCTGCCTGTGAAAGGGCACTATTGAAGGGAGCTTAGACGAAGAGTCAGAGCTGGAGACGGAGGTTCTGCAGCCATCATCACAAGAGGACAGGATTTGCTCCCCGATGGAAAAAGTAGCTGAGCAGCAAGGCAGAGGGCCAGGGGTGGAGGCTTTGAAATGCTCGCGGTAGGACTCAGGCAGAAGAAAGGGAGGTACAGGGAGATGATAAATAGAAAGGCAGAGACACCGTTATCACAGGAAGCAGAGGAGAACACTGTTGGTCAAGGAGTTGTCGACAGTCTCAGATGTGGCAGAATCAAATGGCAAGTGGACTGGGAAGAAACAGAAGTCCTGGGATCTCTCTAGGTAGGTTCTGTGTTTTTAGACAGCCTCCCTTTAAATTCCACTACACCCAAATATTTCCGTCCAGCGTTTACGTGGCTCTCACAGTGGCACCAACCAGCTTAGCCAGCCCTGACGTGGCTCACCATCTCCAGGACGGTGCCCCCGTTGACCCCCCGGGGAACAGCAGTATCCCAGGCTTTTGTGACCTGACTCTCTCTCGCTTCCTGGATGACTATGGCTTCTGCTTCTTCTTGAAATGTCCACCCTCCACTCCAGGCCTTCCTGCCGACTGTCCGCCGCTGTGTCTGGTGACATCGCCCAAATGCGCCCATCGATTCACAGCCTCGCACATCTGTCCCTCTTGGGAAGGATGGGCTCTGCTTCTTCCTTTTCATCAACAGAGGATGCGTGGTCACCTGGTGTGTGTGCTCACGCACACCTGTTCCACACCTGTGAACGCTGGCTCCGTCGTTTTACCGCTTCCTGCTCTTCCCCTCGGACCCCGCCGGGGTCCTGCCGTTTCGGGGTCCTTCTTGTTTCCAGCTGTGTAATGTTCTACGCAGCCTGTCCCTTCTGCTCCTGGCTTTACTTCATGAATGGTGACGTGGAAACAGTCATTCCTGCAGGTGACAGTGCCCTACACGTGTGGAAATACCTCTTCCTCTCCTTTCTTGGAGCACTGGCACTTCTGAGTGTTACCTGAAGGAATTAATCAGTACAACCTGTACAGGACAGCTGTCTATGTCTTCTCCTTTTATGTTTCCTTCTCTTTTCTATAAGTTACTGTAATATGGTTTGCATTATGTTTAAGATAAAATACACTGTTTTTTAATCACCACACTCTGAGAGCAGCTAAGTATAAACATTACCCTAATGTACATGATTAATTCTATGTGCATCATTGTGAAGTAAATATATATAACCATAGTCCCAAACTGCTTGATGGTATTTTTTTTAATTGAGATCATTCAGTGAATAACATATGCATGGCAACCCCATTGACAGAATGTCATTAAAATTTTTTAAGGCATTAGGAGCCTTATGGTAGAGACATTTTATTTATAAAGAATTGTTATTTTAAAAGATTCGTTTTCAAATTACAAAAATAATTCACTTTATTGCTAAAAATCAAGGCTTACAATATTTACACTCTGCTTACCATTTTGCTGCTGCTTAGGAAGATTTTCATTTGTTAGTGTTTGGAGGAGTGATAATGGAAAAGAATGTTATTGACTTTAAATGGGACAAAGGCTGTCATCCCCTATCCCATTCTATTGTATGTTGTCAGGATAAATGCCGGCGGAGTTTTTACTGATTTGTAAAAATAAATAAATTGTTGGTCACTATTTTTAAAGCGGATGAGATCGACATGCTTGCCTCTGTGTCTCTTAACTAGATTAGTAAGTGTTTCTTCCTTAGATGAGCAAATGCCCAACTCTTTTTATAATTTTTATAGGACTTCCAAATCAGCTATAAGTTAATAAGTCAACATTTATCACCCATTAGTGTCAAAGCCCAAAACTGAAACATAATGTATTTTTTCCCCCTTCAGGGTCTTCCTTTTAAAATAAACACCAAAGTTTGAATAACTTCAAACTCTAATTTACTAGTATTAATTTAAAACTACATTAACAGATTTTCATTGTAATTATGGCATGATTATATTAATAATCACCTGCTTTTAAATATTATGTTAACAGTAACTGTGAGAAATAAGGCCCTTGGCTTTTAATTTCTTGGTGGAAAAATAAAGGTCGCGTTAAAAGTCAGCTGTCGGTAACGGCCAGATCGGTACCGGGTGCCCACGAACAAGGCCAGCCAAGCATGCGCACAAAACACTCGTGACGATTTGACAACGACGCATATTAATGATTCTGCTCCAGCTCACCAGAGGAGGACGACCCCGACGTGGGGAGTAGCAGGGGCTCGGGCTCATCAGCCCCGCGGTCCCCACGGTCCCCGCGTGCACTGTCTCTGAGGGTTCCCTTGTCCTCACTTCACTACACGTGTTTTCTCTGCCCGCCCGAGGTGGCAAATAAGGCCAGTTGATCTGGTCAAGGTTATAGAGCCCTATTACTCCAAAAGGTCTCACACAGGGGTTTGTTTGTTTGTTTCTTTGTTTGTTTGATACTTTCAAAAGCAGCTGGGCTGGAGAGTTGAGGAGAGGAGTAACGTCAGCCAGTTCCTGGCTTACGTGGGGCTGCTCCACTGGCATCGCTGTGCCCCTCCGCCCTGTGACTGCGACGTCCAGAGTGCCGAGGCTTAGGGACAGGTGTATCTCTTTCCTCATTCAGAATAAAACTCAACCTCGGAGACATGTTGGATTCTATTTAGGGTTAGGGTGATCATCCCTCCCGTGACCAGCATCACTGGGTCCCAGGCCCCCTTATTTCATTGCACTCTTCGCAGCAGCCCCGGGAAGCATGCAATGTCCGTTGTGGAAGGGTGGAAGTCCAGCCTGGGAGACCTTCAGGGGCTGTGCAAAGCCGCCCGGCTGCTGAGCGCGGCATCAGGGCCTGAGCCCAGCTCTGCGGCCTGAAAGCTCACGCACCTCACGGACGCTGACTGAGTGGCAATATGATAAAAATAAGAAATATCTTTTTCTGAACCCCAATTTTTTAAAATCTACAACTTACCAATGTGCTTCTTCTGTATAAAAATATCTAATGTGTGTGCCTGCCTTGATGTGACTTGAACAAAATAGGAGTTTAAAGTAAATATTTCTGAATTCACCTCCAGCGCCAAGAATTATGCCTTGATTGTTATAACAAAGAAAGGGAATTTAAAATGAAGTAACACCGTTGTGTTCATTTGTAAATAACATATTGCAGCCAACTGTTTCTTAATTGCTCAGACTGTTGACAAATAATCCGGCCCTGCTGCTCAGCACAGACAGTTTGCTTTGGATCAGAGCAGGCCACTCAAACAATACTAATTGCAGTGAAATTCTTTTATATAAGTCCCTGTTTGCTGCAGGGGAGAAGACCCCTGTATAGGAGGTCAGGGCCCTCATCTCTGATTTTGCCTGAACTCCTATGACCTGGGCTCAAGTTGTAATAGTCAAATGAGTTTTGATTGAATAAAAAGAGATCAAGTTGTATGTGGGGTTGAAAAAAAATATATGTATTTCATCCCTTTACTGTTTATTGTCCTGTCATGAATGTTGTTCATTTTACATTTTTAATTCAAAGATGGGACAGCTATGAAAGCTTCACTTAAAACAATATTTCACTGAAATAAGTTATGGCCCCACAGGGCAATTTGCTGCAGCAGAGTTCTGCGTATTAATAGGCACATGTGTCTCTCCTGGAAAGCGACCAAGACTTCAGGACGTCTTCCCTGTGTCAGGGGATTTGCTGTAACATGATGTCATTGTATTTATGATTTTACGGCGTTAAAATGAATGTTAAAAGAAACAAAATTCCCGAGGATTGCTCGGGAGGCTGCTCAGTCTGTAACATTCTGTACAGATGGTTGGAAGGCACAATTTTGCCCCATCGCTGCGTACAGATCCTTGAACGATTTCGACTGAAGACAGCATTTCTTTGAATTTTTCATTAAACCAGACGTCTTGAAATATGAATTCCTTTTATGTTTCTGTGAGTTTTGGCTAACAGAACCCCAGTGAATAAATCATACAATACTGCATGTCACCAGCACTTGTGAATATTTCTGCTTTGTTATTCTACTCTCAGCAGAGCGCCATTGACTGCCCAACTCAGCGGAGAGCATTTTACGGTCGTGTATCTCCATTAGCTCCTAGTTTGACTGCCATGGATTTTTCTGGTTAAGCCTGCATTATGTATTAGGAAGCCTATCTCTTCAATACAAAGTTTGATTTCATTTTTCTAAGCCCAGAGCTCTTATTATGTATTATGTATCAAGATTCTTATCTTTTATATGTAAAAATAGGCTGCACTGTCTTTGTGGAACTGAAATGTATGCCATCTTTTTTTTTTCTCGATCCACAGATAGCATATTGTGCTATGAAGATGAATATCTACAATGCAATGGCTGTCAGGGTAAATATTTCTTCACTTGTTAAACAAATGAAAAGTCAATTGTGCCTGGAATTCGCTTTTAATAAAATGAGCAAACCAGAATAATGCAAATTTGATTGATATGCTAATGGTAAAGAGAGAAAAGAGTACATAGTTAAAAAGTTAGCTGTACTAAATAATCTTGGCAGTATTAGAAATTAGAGTAAAATGTAAAACATGTAATTATCAATGCTTATGTTTTAGAATGTTAAATATCTCTGAGCCAAAGCTGGGGAAAGACTGTAAATATTAATGAAGCAGTGTATTAGTTCCCATGTCATAGAGAAGATTGTGATAAATAGAGGAACACCATTCTGGAATAGAAGATTCCAGCCCAATACAAATCAATTAGACATCATTCACATGATTTAACAGTAATAAAGTCAGTTTCCAGCTTAGAAGTTTTATTTCTATCATTTCTATGTTCATTTTTATGTGTTATTCTCCTCATGGAAGGCTGAACTTCGTGACTATAGGGCTGGCTTGTTTATGCACAGATTTGGGGAACGGGCATGGCAGAAATACTTTTTTTCTCATCTCAGACAATATGGTAATAGCTTCAATTGCAAAACTATTATAAATGGAGAAGGTGCTTAAGCAAATTTCATTAGTGCCCTGAAAATCTACATTTCCTTATTATATGTTCTTTCACTAATCTGCTGGTTCTGCTCATCGTGGATTTCACGTGGGGTGAAAGGGCCTTCTGGAAGACCCGCGAGGCCCCATGGCGGGTGAATCAACATTGTTATGGTTGCATTCACTGCGTCGAAGGGTGTTTCCTCTGTGGGTGTGAGTGCGGTGGGGCCCTGGCTCAGGGGTGGTCTTCTGTGTCTCTCTGCCCACCTGCATGCTCCGTAGTCTAGAGGGAAGAGAATCAAGAGGAACAGGTAGATCTCGCTTCTTTTCCCGAGCCCCAGGCACAGACTCCAGCTGCAGTAGGCCACTGGCCTTTCCTAGTGACACAGTCATATAGAAGGACAATTTGGTTTTTCTCTTTCATGTCCAGACGGCTGCAGTCGGGGAGTTCAGGAGATTTTGATTCATGAGGTCAGAAGACTTAGCCTCTGAGCCTAAAACACTATTAGATGCTTACCTCTTGTCAGCTGTGTCTGCAAAGTCAAAAGCAGTACATAACTGGGCCCCTAAAGCAGTTGATGACCAAGGACTTACATAATCTTCCTGAATCACCAGAGGAAGCACAGGCACAGAGAGCAGGGTTGGAAAAGTGCATTCTTTCATTTATTATTTAGCCCTGAGTCTTCCCTTTGAATTCTGATCTACTTGAATCATTAATATTCCTTTTCCTTAGACTAAGAAACTCTAAGACATCCACATCAATGCAAGCCACTTGGAAGGCAGAGTTTTTGACTTACTCCAACATCCTAATAAAGCTACATTTCCTAACAGCATTCCCCAAGGTCAACTTATCTTTGAGTAATGTCAAGGCCAAAGTTGAAATTAACCTGAGACATATGACCCTGGACAACAGCACAGTTTCAAAGATCCCCCTACCCTTTCCTGTTCTGGAAATAGCTTAATGCAAAAAGAACAAAGGAAAATAACATCAAGTGTACTAACACTTGCACCATAGGGGGGCCCAGTAGGAGAAAAAAGGAGAGACAAAAGGAGGGAAAACCTATTTGAAGGAATAGTGGCTGAAAACTGCCCTCACCTGGCAAAGGAAACAACAGACGTGCAAGTCGAGGAAGCAGAGAGGCTCACAGGAAGCCTCACACACACAAACATATGTGCACACACAGGAATATCACTCAGCCATGAAAAGGAACAAAATCCTGGCATTTGTGATGACTTGAATAGACCCAGAGGCTATTATACTAAATGAAATAAGTCAGAGAAAGACAAATACCAAAGCACTTTGTTTATATGTGGAATCTACCAAACTAAAATCAGCAAACAAAACAGACTCGGATACAGAAAAACCGATAGCTGCCGGAAGGGTGGGGGAATGGGCAAAAAGGTGAAGGGGGTTAAAAGATACAAACTTACAGAGTTATAACGTAGGTCAGGGTGGGGGGTCGAGTACAGCAGAGGCAGTACAACCAATGACGCCACCGTGACTTTGTATGGTGCTGGGCGGGTACTGGACTTTTTGTGGTGAGTATGTTGTAAGGTATAGAAATGCCAGATCGCTATGCTGCCCACCTGAAACTCATATAATGTTACATATCAACAGTACTTTCATGTAAAACGAGCTGTACAGTCCAGAATGAAAATAAAAGCTTCTTCCCCACCTAACTTGGGTGAAAGGCGCCGACACTCCCCTTGTTTACCTACGGCAGGGCCAGACCCAGCCCTCCCCCACCCAAGGCTCCATTGCTCCCCTCACACATGATTAGCAGAACTGCCTGCCCCCGTAGATCGACTGGAAAACCGTGCTCATTAACCAAACTCTGCTTAAGCTTGTCTCCTTCCGCCAGGTCCTGCAGTGCAGCCAGCGTGGAGCGTTTCCCGAACGCCTCCGCCTGAGAGCAGGCCGCCTTCGGGGTCAGACCTGGAGCTCTTACTGTCTATTATGCTGCCTTTCCTTCCACTTCCCCGCACGGGTCCTTTCTAGCTCTTCTTATATCTTCCTGTAAGAGAAGAAATATTTGGGTCTCATTCTTGTAATTCCTGACATGCTAGCAGATGCTGTGGTCACAGCGTCCTCCCCACCGCGGCCGTCCACCTGCAGCCGCGGCCGCCGTCCTCCCTTGCGGGAGCCCTTCCAAACAAAGCCTCTCCTGGCCACGCGGGGTCTGTCACTTCCCTGACACATCCCCGGAGAGAAGGATGGGGGTCGGAATGATCCACTGCGGACGTCCAGACATGTCCGTGAGGCTTCATGCAGTACGTAAATGCCGCTCTGGGAAATGTGTCACAGAAACGCTTCTCCAGCGAAGATGTTCAAAGACTTCCCGCAGAGGCCCGAAGGAGTTAACCTGGCAACAGACCCTGTGTTCCTTTGCGAGGAGTCAGGAGTGAGGCTCACGTGCGTGGAGGCCAGAGTGCCCGCCTCACAGTGGTTAAGGCTTGGCATGGGGTTGATCCCAGAGACCGGAACTGAAGTCCTTTGGAAGTGGACCTGGATAGATTTCTTTGGAAGTGGATTTTTGCAGGACGGTGCTCTGAAAATCTTGCTCTCCGAAGAGACTGGTGTGTGGTCCACATACCTGCGTGGTGCGCGCATTAGTAGGTCACAAACATAGTTGGATACCAGCAGCCGAAAGTCTCTTGCTCCAATCTGCAGCTTCGCGGTTCCAGTTCAGAAGCGTCCAAGCAACTCTGGTCACAGTAACTACCCTTTGACTGATCTCAGCATGGGTGGTTGTGAGTGCTGGAGAGGAAGAATTTCCAAGACGAGCAGAAGAAATCTGTATAGCCAATAACGTTCAGGCAGATATATGTGGACCCAGGTCATAAGTAGGACCTTCACGTGCAATAGGAAAGAAACAGACTCCTGTTTTAATTCACTTCGTAGACTGAGCCACGTGCATATTATGTTTTGACCACTGACTCCTCACCTGACAAATAAATTACATGTAATCTTCAAGGAGGGTAGGGGAACATTTCCAAAAGAGAGAACTTTTTGAAAGTTTATTTTTAGCCTGTCCATTTCTAAATAGATGTCATTTTTATAATGAATACATTACAGGTTGTGATTTTTAATGTCATAGATATTCATATTCTGACTTGCTGCGTTTACTTTTTAAAGGGTCACCTTTTCTCTAAAGACTTTACGATCCCCCTACCCATGAGGGATTGATCGTTCCCTCTTTTTATGTCCCTATTTTACCATCGACATGCTTCTGTTATAGACCTGTAACATTTTATTATCCTTCCTAATTTACATGCCTGTATCCACCCCACACACACTCTGTAAGTCTCTTGGGGCCTGGGTCCTATCTTCCTAGTCTTGGTATCTACTTTCTTGGCTTAGAGTAGGTGGTTAAATAGATGTCCCCAAATAAATCAATACATGGTGTCTCTCTCTTCTTAGAGCTCTGGATCTGTGTAGAAAAATGATGAATCTCTAAAAATTAACCCAACTTTTAACATCAATTATCCATTTTCTTTTGTTTCCCACTTGTTTCTCAAATATTTTTAAAAATGTGAGAAATGATTACATGGTGGCTTTAATTAAAAATGTTAAGTCCGCCCTGGCTGGCATAGCTCAGTGGATTGAGCGCGGGCTGTGAACCAAAGTGTCACAGGTTCGATTCCTAGTCAGGGCACATGCCTGGGTTGCAGGCCATGACTCCCAGCAACCGCACATTGACGTTTCTCTCTCTCTCTATCTCCTTCCCTTCCCTCTCTAAAAATAAATAAATAAAATATTTTAAAAAATGTTAATTCCATCAGATATATAAGGCTCCATCTCAGCCTCCTAAATTATTTATAATCCTATTTTTTATATTTATCATGCTATGAAGGATTTGTGTTTAGAATAATGACTCCAAGATTAGATAAAGATAAATAGGTAAAATCACTCATGAAAAAAAATATTGTCAGTCTCTTATATACTGGGCGATATGTTAGGTTCTAGGAATACAAAATGTGCAAAATGAATAAGACACAGTCTCATTCATGCAGAAAAAGATATGTTGAAATATTAGCTTCCGAAATAGAAGGGAAAGGACCATCTGGACAACCATGAATGTTTGCCTGGTAATGGCCAGAGACTGAAATGTTCTATCACCACGCAAAATAGTCTCTCTTCCTCCCTCCTACTCCTTCTAGTACCAAATCATTGCAAAGCAGTTAGCTAGGTTTGTAGAAAAACAAAGTGGGGAGTCAGGTAGAGTGAAGACACAGAAGATTAAAGAGAAGAGTCTGCAAATGGAATAATTATCCAGATATCTTCTACTAGCCGCAAATAGCTGGTTAAGATACACACACACACACACACACACACACACACACAGTGACACCTAGTATGAAAACTTGGAGATTACTATTTTTTAGCCATCTTATCTTTGGAAACTTAGGAAACCCACTTTCCTGTGTTCACTGTATGGTCTTCAGGAGTTGAGCATTCTAATTTTTTTTTAGAAAAGTATAATTTTGAATAAGAGTTCTACTCACATGCTGTCACACACATTTAGAGCAGCCTCACTAGGCAGTTACCAGTGAATTTGTCGCCCATGTCTTCATTTTGATTTTAGGTGAGAAGGCGTTATTTTTCTCTCTTCTGATAACATGAAGGTTATTACGAATTTTGAAGAATAGAAGCAAACCCAGTGGCGGAAGATCTTTTTCCATGAGCGGATAACTTTGACAAATCAAGGTTTTGCCATTTGTTTTAGTGCCTAAAATAAACATTATTTATAAGACCACTTACATTTTGATGTTACTTAATGAGGAATATGCATCATTGATTTGACTAGCGTAAGAGGTCATTTGGAAGTTGCCCGTTAACAAGCTGTAATCTGCTGAGCACACAATGACTTTGTTTAATATTATCCATTCAGAGCTGATCAATGACAATAATTGTTTTATACCAATCACTCCTGAAAGTTGCTAATTACTTTGAAGGGCACGAATACCAGCCCTTTTTCTTTCTTTCTTTCTTTTTTTTTTTTTTTGGAAGTTGCAACCTCTTCACCTTAAAATTAAGAAGAAACGTGGTTGGCAAAAGTCACCCTGCCTCTTAAAAGCACTTTTATTAAAAATTAAAGGTTTATTCAGTAGAACTGGGAGATCAACAGGAAATTTAGGCAAAATGCAAGATGTCTGGGCATCGCAGTAACGGAGAGCTGGGATTGTATCCAGATTACGCCAGTTACTTTTAGCCGGCTCCGTGTTCTTTCCCAAGTTGCCGAACCTCGGATTCTTCATCTTTAAGGTGGAGCTCCTGGCCCGGCCACAGGGCTCTCCCGGGAAAACCTGTGCCGCAGTGAGCAGGACACCTGGCCCGTTCAGGGAGCGCAGTCCATTCTAGATCCTTCTCTCCCCCGGACGGCAGCGCCTTCGCCCACTAGAAGGCTCAGTTTCTTCCAGCTCTCTGCACTCACCTCTGACAAAGCCACTTAGGGATTGATTGATTATACTTTAATGTGGGCAAGTTTTAATTCGTTAACCACCACTCACTTATTACGTGCTTTAGTGCCCAATTGTGAATACAAAGATTTGTCCTGGAAAGGAGTTTTATCCTGCCTTTGGGGAGATGCCTGGGCAGTTAGGGCAGGGAGAGGACTCCCAGAGCGCACCCCCACTGCCAGCTCCCTGGGCGTGGGGAGGAGCCCGTCCCACCGGCTTCTGTCCGTGGCGCCCTCGCTGGTGGCGCAGATTTCTCAGCCAGCTCCAGTTTCTGTCCTCTCGGTGTTCTTGGCTGTGGGGCGAGCTCACCGCAAACCGCTGCTTCTCCGCACCCCAGCACGCCTCTTCTGTGTTTCCCGCTCCGTCATCTTTTTGAGAATGTAATGTTATTTTTTTAAGGATTTTATTTATTATTATTTATTTTTAGGGAGGGAAGGGAGAGAGAGAGAAACATCAATGTGCGGTTGCTGGGGGCTATGGCCTGCAACCCAGGAATGTACCCTAGCTGGGAATCGAACCTGGGACACTTTGGTTCCCAGCCCGCGCTCAATCCACTGAGCTATGCCAGCCAGGACTTAAGAATGTAATGTTATTTTTGAGTGATAGGTAGCCTCTCCTTTGGCATTACGTGGTAGCCTGAAACTTCACCACACATCCCGAGTCACCACGATGTCTGAGAGTGGATTTTTCTGTCGGTACTTTTGTTCACGAGTGTTCTCTTTAACACAACTGTGACTGCGCGTGCAGTAAGCGTGTGTGAAACATTTGAGGCTGCCAGGTCAGCTATATAACCTTAGGCAGCGGTTTAACCTGAGTGTCAATCTCCTCTTCTTTTACGTGAGGCTAATAATAATCTCTACCTCAGAATAATCCTACAATGATTAAATTAGGCGAATCAGGAAAATGTTCACTTATTTGCATTTATGATTTATATATGTGTACATATTCCAAATGATTATTAATTTTTCATCAGTAAAGAGGTTTGTATTAATTCCTCTCTTAGTTTCTTAGTTGTAATATGATTTTGGTTAAATTAGAAGGAGATTATTTCTAAATTGAGTATATAATTTAAAAATTAATTCTTCTTTATTTAAAGAATTCATTTCTAAAATAAGATTATTTGAAAAATATTTGGAAAGCTATCTACAATGTTGTTACATTAGCTTGCTATTCTACTTAATTTTACTTTCTAGAATTAGTGTCTCTAATTTAATTGTTCTTACAAGCTGTTTGCATATCTTAAATTATTTTTCATCATATTAAAACATTCCTTTAAAAATTTTCCCATTTAGTTTTTATCCATGTGTCCTTATACTCGTTCCTGTAAAAACTACAGGTGGAAATGGGAGGGAGAAGGGGAGGGTTGGGTGGGTGGGTTGGGATGGGAGTAAAAGATAGAAAATTGTACTGCAACAACAATTTAAATAAAATTTTTAAAAATGCATTAAAAAGATCATACTAAATGATCAAGTCAGATTCATCTCAGGGATGCAAGGATGAAAAAAATTTTCCCATTTAATATCTCAGACTGTAAAATGTCTTTTAAATGGCCATATTTTAAAACAAAAATAGATGATCAGAATTTAAGTAAAACATTTTTTCTTGTTTATTCCTCTTAGCAGTTTTCCAATCTATAAGTAAAATGATACAAGTATTTATCTTACAGGAATGTTCTAAAGATTAAATTCATAAATACAGGCAAACCTTTAGAATAGTGCCTCTCACCTAATAAGAACTCAATAAATGTTAGCTATTGTCATTGTTAAAGTATTAAAGTAGCATGATGAAGATACAAGACATTTTGTTTAAAAATTGACAGCACTGAGTTTAAAAAGCCCTTTTTAAAAATTTATTTCAGTGTGACCAAATACAAGCTTCAAGTCCGTTGGTCATGTGAATATCAAAAACCTGTTCAGTCAGGAAGTGGTACAGCAAATGTTTAATCTTTCAATAGTTAATTTTACATTTAGTATTTGTGAAACAATTGTAAATGTTTTGAAATAAATTATATTCTATAAGGTTGTTTTGTTATTATATATTTTCTGATATTAAATCTAGGACTTCAACCTCCATGTGTAATCTATAGTTAGATTAGTAGAAAAGCCTTAAATCTGATATGAATTATCACCCATCATTATTTTTATTTTGAAGAACTATTAATGGTTTCACGAAAAACGTTGACTGACACATTGTATCTTTTCGTTGACTGCCACAGATCCAGAGGTGCTGGCGAGGCTATCGGATCCGGAAACACTGCTTCGATTATGTCTGCTTGAAGGAGTACCTGAGAGCTGTCTCAAAGACCAATGACTCAGTTATGTGAGTGGTGTCATCCCTGGTCTACTAGTGAGAATGTTAGAGAAGTTACTCAGTAGATGTTGATCATTACCATCATGAGAAATAATTTCTCATATAGCTCAGTGGATTGAGTGGGGGCTGCGAACCAAAGCAGTGCAGGTTCAATTCCCAGTCAGGGCACATGCCTGGGTTGCAGGCCACGGCCCCCAGCAACCGCACATTGATGTTTCTCTCTCTCTCTCTCTCTTTCTCCCTCCCTTCCCTCTCTAAAAATAAATAAATAAAATCTTAAAGAAAAGAAATAATTTCTCAAACTCAGTGATATTTTAGGCAGAAATTCATTGATAAGATAGAGATAGAATTCTATTTGACTTAAAATGTATTGTTATATATTTGAATATCTTGTCCTCTTGATTATAAATTAGGTTATATTGTGCCTTGGTTCTGTGGAAAATAGTTTAGCTCAGTAAAATCAATTCAGTTAGAGTGACTTTATCTATAAAATGGTTCTGTTAGATGTGAAGCCTTAAGTATCAGCCTCAGATGTACTTTGAGAAACAGGTTCAGTAGCACGAACTGGCATCTGAAACAAAATGTCACAGAACATAATACAATGCACAGCTTGACTGCTAGGTGTTATCCCCTTGAACTCACACAGAAGCTCGTTCTACATTGCCCGCACACAGTGAGCACTTACTGTATACAAAGTGTTGTGCTAAGGCCTCTATTCTCATCATCGCCTTTGATGTTCACAACCTGTGCAGTCGGCATTATTACCTTGTCCACAATCCAAACGGAAACATTTCAGTTCTGCTTTATTATGTTTAGGACTTCCCTCTAAGCAATAATTTCCACCAGACCCTTAACTGAGGTAGAAATAGTTGTATAGATGTCTGATAAGGAATGAATAGTTATTTTAAAGTGAGGCTAAGCATAGAACATAGACAATGTACTATTTCTAATTAATTATTCGGTCAAATTCAGTGAAACTCATTCAGAGTCAATATTAAGAGTAATCTCTATATTATATTAATTTTCTTTAATGAAACCCATTCATTTGCTTTTGAAAGGTGTTATAATCCTACCCACTAAGACCATTTATTTTTACTGAGCAAATAATCATAAGTTAAAGACTGGTGCATTTTCCATTTTGGTCCATGAAAAATATTTGAACCCTGAACAAGCGGCTGTGTTGCAGACTCCTCCGGCAGGTCAGTTGTCAGGCGCCTCCATCAGTGGGCTGTGGCGTCATGCCGTTTATTTGTATCATTTGAACACAAAGTAACTTCCCAGGGTGTCGGCGGCGAGTCTGCACGGCAAGGCAGGACAGCAGACGAGTTGCAGCCCCATGAAGCTCTAACACGTCATTGGCTGTCAGGTCAGCCTTGTTATGCTGTCCATCCTCATTTAACTATCCCACAAGATCTCTTAATGCAGTTAAGCCCCAAGTTCACTGCAATAATTCTGTGGCAAGAGTTTGTGCAATGTAACAATTCATCACTTGTCAGGAAGGCACTTTTAGTTTATACATTTAATAAGGGCACCCTCGAGCTTGGTTAATTAGAAGTGAACAGTTTGCATATTGACTAAATGCAGAGTGTCATTGCCACCACGGCCTATTGCCTGCATGAATTATTTCTCTATCTGCAATAAACAGCTGGGTAATTATTACCGCCATAATCAGATAAATTCCTTCTGTAAGGCTTTTCTTACATGGCAATTCTTTGAACTCATCCAAAGCTGAGCAAAATTTATGAACTCCAGCAGCGAGGCCACTTTTTCATACTCTGCTGTCCCTGTTCCCCATTTCAAGGACGTAAGTGGAGCACCATAGATATTGTGTAAACAGGGACAATACCTATGATTGCCTAAAGATAATGTTGCACAAACCCCACTTAAAAAATATAATATTCTGATCTCAGCCAACCAAACGATAGTGGTTTGGCTTCCTCCTAATTGTAGCCAAATGATGGGCTCTTTCAGTAAGGGCTCCCTATGCTGTAAAGAAAATGACATTTTACTTTTCCAGAACCAAATTAGTCTGTAATGTTAACTATACACGTGAATATTTTCTGTGGTATCATTTTATATGTGAAGATGCAACAGTTACAGCAATTAATTTGGTAGTATTTAGGTAACATAGCAGAGTGTCTAACTTAAAATATAGTTATATTCTTTGCTTTGAAAACAGTATATAACTTATCCATAATTAGAAATTAATGGCGTAATCCAAATACTGTATTTTTCGGACCATAAGACACACCTAGGTTTTAGAGGAGGAAAATAGGGAAAAACATGCAAAGCAAAAATGTGGTAAAGTATTTAATAACATAAATAACATAATATTTCACCAATGTAAATGTAAACAGAACTCAACAGCAGCATTAACAACTATTATTCCTCCCAAATTTGGGGGGCAAAAAGTATGTCTTACAGTCTAAAGAATACGGTAATCACTTTCAATATGGAATGATATGAACAATGTGATCAGAGCCGTTTCACATACTCTATGTATTTTTAATAAGAATGCATTATCTTCAATAATTTGCTATTTTCAAAATAAAATTTAAGGCAAGGCCTATAAAAAGGAAAAAGAGCTCCATTCCCAAGATAGAATTAATAAAAGGAAAAAGCTTATGATACTGAGTATAATTTATTTACATAGGTATTAATCATTTTCAAGTTTAACTCTCAACACGGTGAATTTCAAGCAGGAAAACGCAGGGCAGTAACTAATGGTGTGATTGACATATAGTTAGTTAAGGATGCCCCCGTGTGAGGATGGAGAAGCCCTAACGGTATATCCCCAAGGAACAGCTTTTCCCAGCACTAATTCTAAAAGAATTTCCACCTGTGAGTCTTTACCAGGAAACACTAATGAAAAGAGCAGTGACTTATGTAACTTTTTTTAAAAAAAAAAACAGCAAAAAGCTTATCTGAACTTTATGTCTATCTTTTTTCTTTTTGTGGAGATGTTTGAGTGGGGGAGGAAATGCCAGAGTATAGCATCGGATTGTTACTCATTTGAAAAGAAGGGACAAAAGTACGTTGGCTGGTGGACTCAGCCCTGTGCTTGTCCGGTTCGATGGAATGAATGGGTGGGTAGCTCTTGTCTCTCACGTGGCACAGCTGATCTTCCGACAGGAGGAGGAGGGAGAGAGTTCCTTCCCACTTGTCTTCCCTTTTAATTCTGTGATATGGACTGGTAATGTATTTGTATTTAGCATTGCTGATTGAGAGCAGATTTATATAGTGGAAATCAGATTCAGGAACTCGAGAGATTAATGATATACAGAGGTTTCGGTCACACTGGGAAACATGTGTAGGTTCCTGTGCAAGTGCATCGAGAAAATGTAACTATTGCTGAAAAGCCACTTGCCGTGCTCTCCGGGAGGGTTTTGCCCTCACCTTCTCCGGCCTCGTGGGAGCACATGACGCTGTGGATAACTTTCCAGTCTCGTCTCTCCTGTCACGGGAATTATGTGACGCCACTCTGCCTGGTTTCATTTTAACAGTTTCTTCCCCACATGCTTTGTGGACTCGCCTTCATTCACCAGGTCACTTCCATTGTCACTCCAGATGCCCTGGACCGTCTCAGCCATTCCCGTAGCTTCTGCTGCCTCTTGTATTCTGGCGATGCATAAATCTGAATATTCTCCGGCTGAGAATTTTCGTCTGATTGTTAACCGTAACCATCCATTCATAGGCCTGCTGACGTGGCCCCTTGGGCATCCGCAGACGCCCCGAGCTGAGCATGTTTGCATACAAAATAATTATCCTCCCAAACCTATCATTTCTTTTCCTAGCTCTCTGTTCTCTGTCCTCATCGGTCTATTCTTCCTACTGCTGCCTACCACATTCTTCTAAAATGCAAATCCGATGGATGGAATGTGTTATATTTCCTTCCTTTCATGGGTTCCCTAGTAGGAGATGATGTAGGGGTTCTTAGAAACCTATAAAATATAAATGCTGGGGTGGTCTTTCAGAGTAGCTTCTTAGCATTAGACTTAAGCAAACTGAAAATGAACATTTGCGTTATTCTGGGGGAACCGTCCAGCCCCGTTCCACTGCACTGAGTCCCATCTGTCCCTCCAGAGAGCCTGCCCACGTGCAGCCCAGCTCCAAGGCCGCCGCGTCCATGAGGCCTCTTCTGAGCCCTCCAATCAGAATCATTTTATTAAATAGTTATAATACTTAAAAACCCGGATCTTTGAGGAAAAATGCTAACATGTGTCTTAGTCAAAATACTATTGCAGAAGGAGAATTGCTAGTCTTTACATATATCTGAAAAAGCAGAAATCGAGTGATAAAGTGGAAATGCAGGCAGAGGTATCACACTACAAAAGCAATGAATTAATAAAACATTACTTACTTTAAAAAATACTTTTTATTGCCACTTTGCAGTGCTTTCCAGCTTTTTACTTGCCATTTTCTTTCTGATCTCTCCATGTCCTCTCTCTGGAGCGTGGAGAAAGAAAGCCCCTCCAGCCTAGTTTGCTTCTCTCTCTCTCTCTGTTCTTTGCGTGGCGATTTTGTGGCCTTTTCTTATCCTGACCAACAAGGAATGTGATGAGGTTCTGTTTGGCATTCATATGGAAGTCGTTCCTGGGACCGATTATAAAACGACTCTTCGATAAGCAGTTTTCTAAAACTCATTAGATAGTTTTCTTGAAATTACATGTGATGTGCTGCTTTGAAATACGTTCGTGTCATCCCGTGGCACGGTATCGCTGTGTGACAGCGCCAGGATCGGTTCGGAGATGCCCTTGGTCCTTGTTCAGTGGATCGCGTGCAAAGGCAGCGGCGATCCTTCCTGCTTTCAAGTGAAGTTAACACTTTTGAAATGAGAGACGGCAGTGTGTGGTTGGTGGTGAGCAAACACACAGTCAATGAGATCTTGCGATTCTTTTCGTCTGAAATGGGAACTTGAGCTACTCAGCTCCGAACTCTACCCCAAACCAAACTTCAGGAGCTTGGCCCTCACCCACCCACAGCCAAATCACAGTGAAGACTGCAGGAGAGCCCGTTCTGAGTTCCCCTCGCCGTCTGCAAAGCCTCCTCCTCTCACAAAGAACAGGAGCCTCATTAATAATACCTGCCCCTCGCCAACCTCAGCAGAGTGTTGTGAGGACGAATTAATGTCTGTGAAGCCCTCGGAGCTCCTGGAAATAATGCACAATGTAAATACATGTCATTATTATGCCTATTATTGTGCTTAGCTCGAGGCCGCTCTCAATTATTTGACATCGTGTAGGTTACATGAAAGTTTGCTTCCATTTAGAGAAACTATCCAGAACAGTCAAAGGAAAATAATTGTACAGTGAAATATGTGCATATTTCCAGAAGGAATACTGTACAAAAGAATTCCTTTCAAGAAGGTTTATTCAAAAGAGCAAGAAGAAGAAAAAAAAATTGATTTTCATGAATGATCTTTGAATGGAGTCTTATTGCTTTTTTTTAAAATCATGCAAAGTAGGCAAATGAAATAATGGCACAATTGGATGGTCCCCTTTTATGATCAGAGTGCAGTCATGGTATTGTAATTTTACAGCATCCACCATTAGCATCTTCTTTCACTTTCTTCCCTTCTCAGAATACCTAGTCTATAGAGGACAAATTTGCCAGCATTACCCTTAGAAAGTCCGTTCACCCTTGCTCAGCAAGCCTTTCTCTACTCTCGTGCATTTTCCCTGCTTTACTCTTTACTGTTGATGGGTCACGTCTACCAAAGACGGGCGGGGGGGGAGGGGACCGTCCAGTCCCGTTCCACTGCACTCGGTCACAGCTCTCTCTCCAGAGAGTCTGCCCACGTGCAGCCCAACTCCAAGGCCATCGCGTCCATGAGGCCTCTTCTGACCCCTCCAATCAGAAGCGAGCTCTCTGAGCTGAAGCACGCCTATGCACTTCTCTGTTGACTTTTTCTATCAGTGGTCTAGTGATTAGCTATTTCATTTGCAAGTGACATGAAGATGGGGACTGGGCTTTGCACATCTTTATTTCTTTTAATATTTTAAACGTACTTGAGACTGCCTGACTGAATTAACAAATAACTATCCGTTTCCTCGTGATAGTTACTCTTCAGGCAGCTTAGACGTTTTAAAGAGAAATTCAAAATGCAACACGCAAATTTTCAGGAGTAACCGAAAAGGAGGATGTGTTTGCACGGCTCTCTCCCATCTCCTGGGTCCCGCCGACCAACGTGTGTCCCGGGCCCCACGCCTCTCGGGAAGCCAGAGTCCACATGGTGCATTGTGGGGTTCCATCCCCAAGGCGCACCCTGGTCGGGAGAGAGAAGGGAGGAGATCATGGAGAGAACTAGAGGAAGTGTACGAGATCCGTAATCCTGTTGAATAGATCAAGCGAAGAGCGTGGTACCTGGCTTAGAGTAAAACTCAAAAACAGCTAACACATGTCACCGATGCACCAACCCTACTCTGAACACTTTACATAGATTAATTCACTTCATTCTCACAATAGCTTGATGAAAGAAGATGTATCAGGCAACAACAGCTTGGTGCGGAGTGAGAGAATCTGCAAACCTAAGGAGTCTGAGTCCCTTTCTGCCACTAATTGTTATTGAGTTGGTCACTTCCATCGCCCTTTGTGTTTCCGTATTGTTAAAATATGGTAATCAGTAACACCTATCCCATACACTCCGCGGGATTGTTGGTTGGTTCTTTTTTTTTTTTTTTTGAGAATAGAAAGGATACATCTGAAATGAAAAAAAAAATCTGACATTATCTGGAAAATTTTGAAGTATTTTAAAAGTACTGGATTCAAAAACCCCTGCATGAGAAAATAGATAATTTGTATAATTTTGCAGAAACCCCCAGTTAGAATGGTTTTCATCATTTACTCTTTCATGGGATCTCCATTTGTATTATGTCCTTGACACGGAGCCGTCGCTCCACCCCTGTTGATATCACAAGAGCCTGTATATCAAGGATAAATAATTTATTCAACTCTCCCGACTTGGTCGTTGAACAAAGACTCTTTGACATACACATAACTCTGGCGTTCAGTGTATCTGCACACTCGCGAATACGGCGATAACTCAATTAGCAATGCAAGGCTGATTCTTTTTAATAATTGTATGAAAATATTCAATTTATTACTTCGTGTTCTGAGAGTACCCCAGTTAGTTTTTCTACTGCCCTGTCCACCATCCTGGGTTTATTTTCAGGTCTCCTCAGCTCCTGCTGGGCTTCCTCTGCGTTTTCTTCACGTGCGAGAAGCCGACACCCTTTCGCACCTCCCTCAGTTCCAGCTTCCCTCGCCCAGCTCCCCAAGTGCGCACTGTTTGTACTTTACGTTCCCGTATCCTGAAGATGAACTGTTCCTTCTCCTTGCCATAATTTACAGTTTTGATTTTGTGTCAAGTCCCGTGTACTTCTTTGTACCTCGCTTGTTCACGTGTGTGTTCATCAGACGGGGCCGTTTTTCTTTCTTGGGTTGGACCTCATACTCATTAAATCATTCATAAAGCACAAACTCCTTTTGTAGATAGATTTTTAAAATTTTTTTCTGATCGCTCAGAAAATCGCTGTCCTTATCTTTGGAGGGACATAAATTGTATGCATGCATATCTGAGTAATTACCCTGGCAGTGGTAATTTATTGCTTATTTTAAATTACCTTAAGGACTTATAAGAGGAACTATAGAAGAAATACTTATTTTTTCCATAATATGAAAAGCAAAGTTGAAAATCCATAATCTGTTCCACTTTTTATGTAACATATGATTGTTATTTTTCCTGGTAAAAACTCTCATTTATTCATAAGGGACTGCCTTGAAATTTGTACGTTAAGGACAAAGAAAGGTCAGCAGTCCCTCCAACTCCTGGTTCTTTGTCAAAAATGGACACAGTTAATGAGGTTTGTTTGGTACAGAGCAAATTCTCAGACACAGATAGAGATCCTTTCAATGGAAACAAATTTGTTTGGCTTTACCAGGATACTTAGTGATTAATAACAGCCTCACCACGATGCAGGCCAGACAGGTCTGAGTGCCTGCCTGCCCACACAGTCTGAGTGTGCAGCCAACCTGGCTCTGTGGGCTCAGGAACCGCCCCCCCGCCCCAACACTCTGCATGAAGTAGAATAGGCCGTTTTCTGACTCCTTTTTCATATTAATAAGCAATTTTCAAGAGAAGGGTGGCAAAGTGAGGGCCACGCCACTCCAAGTAATTCATTTATTTTGCAATTTAATCTTATGTTGAAAAAAATTGCTCGGCTGCAGTAGTACGGCGTGGTGATTTTTAAACGTCAGTGTGTTTCAGAAGTAACCTTGTAGGAAGTATTGGATTAGCAGTGTTTAACGGGAAACTGAAACAAAAATGGTTCTAGACAGTGAGGTAGAAATGAGAATTTTTTTCTTCTTTTTGGAATTTCCCCCTCTACTTTCTCTGATATGTTTGAGGTAAAGACTCAGATGATTCACTTAAAATGGATTAAGCATATGTATAAAAGCCACTTTTAAAATTAGCCCATTAGTTAGTATGCAAAGTAAATGATTAGACATTTATGAATAGAAAAACAAAATCCACAGGAAATCAGAAGATCAAATGTTTTCTTGAGATATGTAAGCAGGTCCAAAATAGTTAATCTCCAACCAAAGAAGTTAATAGACTAATTCACTTATTTTGCATTTGATACAGTTTCTCAGTTATTGGATTACTTATAAGGTATATTTGATTTTAAAAATTTAACCACTGAAAAATCACTTTAAATGCTTGTTAAAGATTGCAAGGGTCCCCTTAGAATGTGCAGCCAAGAGAGATCACACCATTGATTTCGATGAGTGTGGATGCTGGTTGCCCCTCCAAAACTTGATTGCCATTAGCGAAAGAATGAAAACATAAGCAGGTTGTCAGTATCAGGAGTAATCGCAGCTGGCTTTTGGTGCAGGGAGGCTCTGGAGGAGTTCGCGGAGATCAAAGAAAGAGAAGAGAGGGAGGCTGCCCTGCAAAGGGAGAAGAAGAAAAAAGATTACCAAGCCCGAAAGATGCATTACCTCCTCAGCACGAAGCAGGTGGGTCTACCTGTGCCTGACAGCTCCCGTAAGCCACTGGGGCCCCGGCCTGACAGAGATAAACTAGCAGCCTGGATGGGACATGACTTGTTGAAAGATATCGCAAAGACACGACTTGGAGTTCAATTCCGTGTTGCTGCGCAGGCGCACGCAGGCACCCCGACTCCTCTGAGACAGGGGCCTCTGAGAGTCCGCTGCCCCGCGCTGGCCGGAGGGTCCGAGTCAGCAGCCTGCTCTCCCACGGTGTTAACCCAACACGGAGGGCGCAGCCTGGCCCTCCAGACCGGTTCTGGGGAGCTCCTTGCTGTGTTGCGAATTGATCAAGAACTAACATGTTACAAAGCCGAGATAGCTTTCTGGATCCTTTGCACCCTTTGCAAATTCTGGTGCAAGCCTTCGGGTACAGCTTTGAACAAGAGTCCCTCAGCAATTCCATCTTCACACAGGAAAATAAATGTGGAATTTGGAATATTTAGAAATTTGTTTCCTTAGTTGGTAAAAATTTCAGGGCTTAGGATCCTGTTATGTCTGCTAAGAAAAAAACACACTGTGTGTAGAATATTCTGCTCACAGATATAGTTCTAAAAAAGCACGAATTGACCTTTAGGAAGATATAGCAATTTCCAGGTTTTTATTTTTTCTTCCAGACTTTCCTTCAGTCCGGTCTCATAATTCTAGCAACAGTCACATATTTCAATGTGTTCAGTTATGGGCAAGTCGAGTCCCTGGAGAGGATGGTGAGGTCTGACATGCAGTGTCATCCTTAGAGGCATCCAGGTCCAAAAGCACGTGAAGTGCCAGCTGGCCACGGCCGTTTGCACCCGGACCTCCTCATCTCTAGCCTCTGTCGGGCTGTCTGAGCAAAACTTTTCAATAACGATGACGGTCACAGTATTTACTTAGGTATCTATAGCTCGGTTACCTTCGTGTAACAGGCAAGGAAACTGAAACTCCAATTATTTCAAAATAATTTAGAAAGAAAAAGTCACAGTATTTCTACTTTTCATGATAAAATCCATGACAATGTAAATATTTTAGCTGTATGATTAGTGAGCTACATTTTTTAAACATAGAACTGCAAATCAGGAATTCTCTTTAGCAAAAGTTTTTTCAAATTCATGCACTAGTGATTTCAACTTTGATGGAACCCTTTAAACCTGATAATAATTCTTAGGTAGATTTGTTTCTTTTGATAACCCTGACCTCTCTTTATATTGGGTTGGCCAAAAAGTCTGTTTAGTTTTTTCCATGAGATAAAAGACAAATTTTTTCATTTTCACTGCTAACTTTATTGATTTGGATATTTTGAGTATGTCAGCTGTCTCCTGGTCTTGGCGTCTAGTGGGTAGAGGCCAGGGGTGCTGCCACACACCTTCCAATGACTAAGACAGCCCCACAGCAAGGAATTATTTGGCCAAAATGTCAATAGTACCAAGAAACTTTGTAAACTTGACATGTTCAATCAGTCACAGCTCCTTCTCCATACACTGCACAAATCTTTTTTGTGTATTTCAGTTGCATCTTTACCTCTCTTGAAATAATAAACATAATACTCCAAAAATGTTACATATTTTCTTCCACCTTCAATATTAAAATGGCTGCACAAAAATTCACCAGTTTTTTTGATAAGCTTTTTAATGCACACTGATATGACAGCTGTCACAATACAGTCTAACAAAATTGTTTTGAATGAAGTTAAAGGCAATTAAGCACTACTAGGGCCATCATACAGAAAAATCTAAATGAAATTTTTGGCCAACCCAATCCTGGGAATCTTTCTTAATCTGAGTTCTAATTTTGTTCTATTTATTTACGATGGGTAGTATAGTAGAGAAAACAATTTTTTAAATTTTGAAGTCCAATTTAACTGAAACATTTGTTAATTCTGTTTTACCCAGGGTTATCTAGGCAGTGACTATGTAATGGAATAACTTAGAAAGTTCATAAAGCGTTAGTTGTTTTGCCAATACAAATAATACAATAGGAAATGCCCATGGAGTGATTGCCATGTGCCAAAGACTATGGCAGAGACTTTACATGCATTATTTTTAAACTATTTTGATTTCCTTTTAGTTTTAAAATCAAGTGCCTGACCTAATGAATTATTTCGCAAGTGACCACATGGCTCATGGATCTTAATGAATTTTCATATAATATGGCCAGTGCATTTCAGGTGTGTCTGTGTTAACAAATACACACCGCCAGTGCTGTCTAATGTTCTTCTCCTGGTTTCTGCGGAGCGGGTAGGATCAGCGTGTGCAGACTGCAGCTGGGGGACCTCTGGCCTCCAGAGCCGCCTGGCACCCAGCCATGGCATCCTCTCTCCCCCTCGCCTTTCTGCTCCCTCTCTCACATCAATCAATACAAAATTGTTTTTCAAAAAAGAAGTATATCAGGATAAGGAATCTTTAAACCCGCTTAAAACAATAATTCTAATAGCACGTTAGCAAGGAGAGAAACGCTTTCTCTTGGTGATATCAATAATTTAGAAATGATTTTAACGTAGTTTGTAGAAAACTAATTAGTAAACTAATTGTAGTAAACTTTCATAGTTCTAATACAATTTAACTTAAAGATGTAGACATAATACATTAATTTAGACAAATAGTGCTTCAAAAAAGGTGAACATTTTTGTAAGCAAAAATTGTACTTATATATTCAGACCTAGAAAATAAACAAAATCATTCATTATTTAACATGTTAATACTTTTAGAGCAATTATGCTGATATACTGACATATTCATGCTGATAGCATATTTTTCTAGTCCATTTTAAGCTCACTTTTAATACAAATCCAATGCATATCTCAAAGACTCTAAAATATATTACTAATTTTTGCTGATATTAATTATCTTTATGCAAGCAAAATGTTAGCACAAATACAAGTTACATAACTAAATAACTAATATAACAATGAGTGAATTAATAGACCCCTCAGGGTTTTATTAATTAAAAAGTCCAAGTCATATTAAAACACTTTTTGTATATGTTTATTTCAATCAGAAAGCTGAACATGGTAACTTATTTGCATAAATAATCAATCACGATTTCTAGTAGTAATAAGGTTAATTTGTTGCTACAGACATAATAGGATTAGTCAATTGTATTTCCCAGAAAATGCTATTTGTTATGCGCCCCATCACCTGTGAAACAGGATTGGGTTTAGCGCCCTTATTACGTGAACACATCAAAAAGTCTTTGTCCCTGTAAAAGTTGTATGAAAAGAAAGCTAATTTCAGTTGATTTGAGTAAGTAAAATGCATGCATTGCCTTCATTTGCGAATTTAATTTATCTTTCTGCAAAGATTGATTATGTAATAAAGTTATTTATTTTGATTCAGTAACCAGTCAGACTGAATCTAACACACATCGGACGTACTTCCTTTGAAGAAAATCTCATTTGCAGGTTTGTGTTATTCCAAATCAGCGGACTCTCATTCTGCTGTCCTTGTGCTCGGGTAATAAATTATGTTGTCTGCTCCCCCTACTGGTCGGCGTGAGCAAAGGCCTGCTGCCGGCCTCATTAAAACGTGCAGCCTCTGAAGTGTTGCCAGGGTTTTCAAAGGTCCTCCCGGACCTGTCGGCGGGGAAGTGACAGGCACAAAGGTGAAGCCCAAGATCTAAATCAGAAATCGCTAATATTTAGAAACATAGGCTGTGACATACAGTTACACACATGACAAATGTCCTGATTAGTGAAAATAATACCGTTTTTAATTGTAATCTATTAATAACAAAATAATGCAAAATATATTAACTCAGTGTAACTATGCATATTTTATTTTACGTATGGCATTTCATAGTTTACCCATATTCAAGTAAACACTGAAATGAAAATCTATAAATTTAATTACACTTTCATACATATTTTGTGGAAATAACTTTCATGTTATCCCTTATATGATAATAGATATTCAATACTTCCCTTTAATGAGCAGTAGAAATTTTTTTAATATTTTATTTATTTATTTTTAGAAAGGAAAGTGGGGGAGAAAGAGAGAGAGAGAGAAACATTAATGTGCGGTTGCCTGGGGTCATGGCCTGCAACCCAGGCATGTACCCTGGCTGGGAATCGAACCTGCGACACTTTGGTTCGCAGCCCGCACTCAATCCACTGAGCTACGCCAGCCAGGGCTTAGAAATTTTTATATGGGCTCTGATAAAACAATTTTTATTACTTATGATTCTTTAAAAGGTTAATGTTGATTAAACTTTATTTTTAATTATTTTTTGAGAGAAACAGGTAGTTTCAGCTACTGTTTTTACAAATTCACATAACATCTGCACATAGAAGGAGAATAGCTTAAACATAAAAGGTACACTCGATAGGCCCAAAACTAATTGGCCGTCCCTTGGTATGGACAACATGTTTATAAGACAATTCGCATAAGGTGAAAAAAGGCGAAAGTTGAGAACACGGCAATTCTGCCGGAGCACTGATTGCTTTCGCCGCTGTTGTCTGAGTGCTGGAAGCGGAGTGACTCTGCCACTGCGCGTGTTCAGTACACAAGTGCTCCCAGAAGAATGGCGGCCTTTCGGTGTGCACCTCCTCTGGGTGTGCGCACGCGCGTGTGTGATATGTGTCACCGTGCACGTGGTGCACCTGGAAAGCATCTCTGGAGGGCCTTCCCAGAAGCCAGGTCCTTCGGCGGTGGTCCGAAGGAGCGGGGCCCACCCATGATGGTAAAACATGCCTTGTAACAGCTCGCTGCAGTGCAGTTTAGGCCTCTTGGTCCTCAGCACTTAAAACCACATCTTTAACGTCAAAACATTGATTTTATTCCTTCCCAGTTTGTTGGCTGGACCATGGACCCTCTCTCTCTCTCTCTCTCTCTCTCTCTCTCTCTGTCTCTGTCTCTCTCTCTCTCCCCCTCTCCGTGACATACATACAAAGAGTTTATGCCTTGAGGCTCCTGGCTGTCAAGGTACCTGTATGTCCACTGTGTTGAATATTGTATTTGTGATCTTGTTCTGATGCAGCCTGATTGGGGGCTTTCACG